GAGACTTTACGCAGAATTCTTAACAAGACACGAATAAAAGTGGCATTCAAACCCACGAACTCAATTAGAAACAAGCTTTGTCGGTTAAAGGATCAATCCTGTGGAACGAATGGAAACGAAGCAATTTAGTTTATCTAAAGCCATGCCTGGAATGATTGTCAGGTCAAATACATAGTTGAAATTAGCAAAACGGGTGCAGTCAACCTAGTGAAGCATAAAAGCCCAACAGCAAAATCTAGATTAGTTGACCCTACTAAGACAAGAAATCTTCAGAATAGTTCAGCTATAACACACACTACGTGCAATTGCACGTAATCTTACAATAGGATGGGATAGGATGGCAGTTTTAATAATCTAATGTAACAGGCTTGAGGGAGAGATTGATGTCAATGGAGGCTTTGTTTATCGAATTAACTGCAAACACATGTAATAGGAATGATTCAACACCTGTCCAGTCGGATATCTGGAAAATTCTACTACCACGCCTACGACGACAAATAGGAGAGAACGAAGAAAACTATAAAACTCAAGTTTTGAAGTCGTGTGATTATAATTGATATGATTATGAACAGTAAATTTTGGTTAATAACGTCATCCAGTAAATAATACTATTTCATCACTGTGTGATACCACTAATAAACAAACTAATATGGAATTCCGTCCTTTTCGCTTCGAAGGTGCCAACCAGTTTTCTATTGGGAATTATTTAACGTGTTTTGAAGTCATATAGTTATGTAGTAATGACTGGTTGATAAAGATTTGAGGCATTGCATCGCATGGCATTAAAATGGTTTCTGAATTACTGTATGGCCAACACTGTCGAAGGCCTTTTCAAATTTGATACCTTTGAGGTAGAGAGTCGACTGCCATTCTTTGTTCTGTTCGATTATATTGCGTAAGGATGTTTTGTAATTCGTTTCGTATAGGACTTAGTTTTCCTGAATTTAGCTTGTTAATCCAGGCAACATCTTGCATCCAGAGTACCTTTCAATGATATATTATTTGTTTGGTGTGCTAAGGTAACTTACTTCGTTTGACGAAAGAGTTCTCTCGAGCGATGTGTATTGGTTGGTCGAACAGAATAGAGAATGCATAAATGAGTTGACAAGTAGGAAGAAAGTTGGTTCGACTTTCCGGGGGAGAAGTTTCTAGCATGAGTATGAATTTCCACTAGAATTCCAGTGGAATGGTGAATGGGCTTCGATGATTTATGTGAGTGGGTAACTTCTGATTAGCAGCAAGATGTTAGTAAGTCAATCTGATAGGACATTTGGAGGCGTGATGTTTAATATTGTTCTGTACTTCAACTGCTTCTTAAGTTAACTGACTACTGATGGTTGAGTATTTTGACTGATGGTGATTGACATTGAGTGACCTGCAGAAAAGTTTCGATCTCCCTTCCCCAGTATGTAGGTTTTACATGTACTCTGTTTCCATTGTATTTCAGCAGCCAATATAAACCTTTAGACAACATTCGTGTTTTGTCTACCACCTAAGGAATATCTGATCATATATGTAGGTGGAAGAGAATAGTGGAGAGTTTATATATATATATATATATATATATATATATATATATATATACAAGCGTTACACCGTGAACACCGCTTCTCTGTTATCAGTTCGGTGTCCCTATTTCAACTCAGCGTTTTGCTAAATAATATAAGAGTGATCTTTGTTATTTTTTAAATCATGGATCCCTGAGAATAGCATTTACTAGTCGACCATTATTGTTCAATAACCTGAAGGACAAGATCCCGCTGTTGAACAACTCTATGTGTGTTTGTCAATTCACCTGCTCGTGTTGAGCTAGGTATATCGGTCGTTCGACACGAGTTTTGTCCAAGAGGGTGCAAGAACACTATCCTGCATGGTTACGAAAAGGTGGAAGTGGAGTAATAAGAAGCGCGATCATTGAACATCTGGTCGATCACCTTATCTCTATAGCCTCCGCCTTCAAAGTCATCTACAAGGCAAAGAGTAATTTACCCAAATCCCTACGTACCCAACTCATCTGTTTTGCTGATGCCATCTTTGTCTATCGAAACAGAAAAGCCAGATCTCTGTGTACAGAGAAATTTTGTTCAACCCCTCCAACTTTCATGGTCTTAATCCCTCTATGCTAAAGTATGGTAATCCCCAATCATATTTTAGCTCTACCAATTTTTCATTTTTGTCTATTCAATTTGTATACTCTTCCTTATTAAGTCAACTGTTACTATTACTACTCTCACTTTTAATTGTCCCCGGTATTATTTCACTTGTTCCACTTGTCATTCTAAATCAATTGCTATTAAATTTCACACAGTATTACGTAACGTTTTTTATTTTTTTATTCGATTTGTCTACTAATCTTATAATTGCACACCTTCAAGTTCTATCCATCCTATGAATTATTCTATATATGACATTAATTTGCTTTGCCACTTGACATTTAACTACGATTATAATCACGAACATTTTAGTTTTAATTGCATTTCATATTATTATTATTATTTTATGCATTCACACGTATGTTTCAATCCCCTCACCGGATATAACTTCTTAAAAAACCATATATATATACGATTGTACAGCTTGATGATAAATTCGTTGTTGAAAAGAGTCTCTTCGCTGAATCACCACTTGTTTTGATTTTCTAAATATAAGAGTTACGTGACCATGGTTTCATGTGACCAAGACACGTTCATACATGTCATTCGATTCTTTTATATTCTGGAACCCATAAACATAGAATCAGGATTTTCCATCTCTCCTAGGTAGACTCGAATATGACTGCCAGTAGTCCGATTGTAAGCTTACAGTTTACAATTTATTTAGGATAGTAGGCTATATGCCTGTGTTAATCCTTTCGATTTGTTACACACAGGAGGTCCAGTCTCGCCTTGAATGAATCAACGGATGGCGCTTATACGACGTGTTCCGGTAGGGAGTTCCAGTGGTTCACAATTCGATGCGGAAAACGGATCTCCAAACGCAGACGATTCGACCGTGGTTTTTGAACCTTGAGGTGATGTCCTCGCAATCGGTTGGTGCTGGAAGGAAGAAATAAATTAGATAAATTTGCTCCAAAATCATTTCTTAGGATACGGTATGCTAGTATCAGGTCACCCCTAAGTCGTCTGTATGACAGTGGAAATAAACCCAGTCGACTTAACCTCTCCTCACATGAGAGGGTTGAGAAACCCTTTATTAGCTTAGTTCCTACTCTTTGCACCCTTTCTGATAAGTCTATTTCGTATTTGAAACACGGGCTCGCTGCCTGGATCCCATATTCCAAATGAGGTCTGATATAAGTCGGATATAATATACGAAATATTTCAGCGTCAAAGTTCGCAAAAGCCTTGCGTATGGCCCATAATATTCGAAAACCCTTAGTGGCTGCAGCTCTACAGTTTGTTGCTGTTTTCAAGTCATGCTGCACAACCACTCCCAAGCGCCAGATATCCCACACATATTCACCGTTTCACACTCTCGCTAAGTAAACTTAATGAGACTATGAAAATGTGACCAGACATGATTAACATAGATTAACAGAGATTCGAACTCATGACGCATTGATTGATTGGCAGTTTGAATGCTCAAGCTTGAATGTGGGTTACATCACCAAGAAATTCTTTTCGCACCTTGAATCAATCAATCAATTAATCAATTAGCTGCTATCTTCCATTCCCAACCACCCCCTTCGCGAAATAAACAAGAGTGAACACTGCCTCCAAAGCCTCAGGATGGTCGGGGGTGGGTGCCTTGTGCTGCGGGTTGGCCACCCCTCCGCACACCTCTTGAAATGCTCCCATATGACCGGGCGTCTTACATAGCCTCTCCTGAGGAAGTCCTACTCACTGGCTTCACGTGGCGGAGGTGTTTTTCACCAAAGTGAGAGGGCGAAAGCGGATGCCCAGCGCTCTTCACCGGGTTGACTGTCCATTGGATGACAGTCTAGGGGAGATGGCTAAACCCTGATTCCAAACCTCCAACGACTGGCGTATGAAGCTCACTGGAGCCCACCGGCAGACGTATGGACAAAGGGCTTGTTGGATGTCCTGGATGTCTGGCCCCATTCAAAAAGGCGTATGAACCGAACTCCGGTCACCGGCTGCCAATGGATAGTGGACTCCCTACTCCACTCCTACTGCCTTGTAGGTCACACTTGGTTGTGTAAAGGCTAGAGCTGCACTCTGAAACAAAAGGCTGAGCGATTCTGTGGACATCACTCGTACCAAATTCCCATGAAACTTCATGAACTCGCTTCATCAGATCGCCGCGCCTGGGCAGTGATCATTCGAGATGTTCATGAAGCCGGCTCATCCTCCCGTAGGAGATAGCCGAAGTAAAGTAAAAGTAAGTAAAGAACACGACATGATGTCAGAGCAGTAGTAGTAGTAGTAAAGCGTGATACTAAAACCCAAAGTAAATTTATGTCACCTTCAACTATTCGAAGGACAATAAGAAAAACGCAACACAGTTTAATATATAATGTAGAGAGAAAGCAAAGTGTATTCGTTTACACATTCTGAACACACTGAGGGGCGGGGCGGCGGGGAGGTAAAAGAAAGAAAGGAAAATGCAAAAAGCAAAACAAAATCATAATTTTTTCCATGATTAAAGTATATAAAAAAAACAAAAAGAAACAAAAGCAACTAAAATGCAAGTTATGTAAATAAATAAATAAATATATATATATATATATATATACGTATGGACCAGTATAAGCAAATGTTTTAATGGAACCCACAGCCTTCTTTACACCCCTTGGCGGTACAACACCCACTTACCCCCCCCCCCCACACACGACTTCTTAATCAGATACAACAAAGAAACAGAGATCACGTATATAAATCAATAAATAGATATACCAAAAATGAGAGGGAGAGAAGGAGGGAGGCCTGTTGAAATATCTCAGGAAAGTTGTCAATGATGAAGCAGTTTATTACCATTATTATTATTATTATTATTATTATTATTATTATTATTATTATTATTATTATTATTACTGTAGCTTAATCACGACATTTCCCATCGACATGTGATGATGCCGACATAACATTGGAACGTAGCATAGCTGGATTGGAGTAGTGATAGTAGTCTGTCGAGGATGAACCACCCCCACCACCAGTGGCCAATTTTGCAATACTATGATAAGCACTACGTACTAATGAATAAGGGAAACAGGATTCTTGTAGGCTGGCTGATAAACACGGTGATTGTTTGATAAGACTATCAAAGACAATGTATATCGAGTCTCTATTTTTCGCTGGTAATATACAATAACTAGAATTTGACGATTGATTGTTACTACTTCCATAGACATCTGATGAGATGAGGGATGAGGAAGTTTCCAGGCCAAGTCGTAGCAGATTTGATGAGGCAAGAGCAAGAAATTCTTTACAACGTGCTTCTAAATCACCAGGACGTAAGAGTGAAAACATTGAAACCTGAAAGGAAAAAAGAGAAAAGAAAATACACACAACAATGTATTAATAATAATAATGATTTACTTTATTCCAAAAACAGTACTTGTGATACAGAATGGAATTTTCAGCATTAATCACAATATTGCATCTAATTTCCTCAAAGTATAAATAAAATTAATCACACAGAAAATTCTTCTACATTTACAATAGGGGTAATGTAAAAAAAAAACATGCAGTATATAAAATAGAAATAATAATAATGATAGCAGCTAAGGTAATGATAATAATAATACAAGTGGAAATTGCCGTGGGTTTGTTTCACACAGTATTGTCGATGCGGTATACAAATCCTTGCATGATTAAAAATATTGAATATGATGTTCTCTTTACATGATATGGTGAGGGGAAAAACAAAAATTACAGCAGTCATAGAGATAAGTTGGTGTTTGCAGTTATGAAAGTGAGAACAAGAAACAACAGGACCATAAATATAATAGGAATAATGAAAGTAAAACTTGAAGGTATATAAGGATGGATGGAGGAGATTGTTTATTTATTAGATGAAAAAAGGTTAGTCAATTCTTGTCTGACGCTATTTTCATGACATAAAATACGTGTCAAGTATGGTATCATAGAATTTTGATACTTAGACGTGCGAGCATACAGTTTTCTGAAGTTACTTCTTGTTCTACCTGAGGAGATGCAAGGTGAAAGCTGAGGGTGAAGTGGATGCTCCAAGTCAGACAAAATCCCTTTAGCAAATTTACTGCGCGAAGTCAAGTGCCTATCGACAACGACGTTAACTATGTAGTCCACTGGGAGACCACTCATCCTACTGACAGTCTTCAGCATTCTACGAATTGTGACATAGTCCTTTTTAAGCAAACCAGGAAAGAATAAGGGTGAACAATAAAGAAGAATAGGTAGGATGCAAGAGTTTATGAACTGTAAGTGGAGGGGTTGAGTTATACCCGAGTGCCTTAACTTCTTAATGTAAAATGTCAGGCGGAATATTTTACTGGAGATCGCTGAGACATGGGAAGACCAGGAGAGATCAGAAGAGAGAATAAGGCCAAGATACTTAATTTCTGATTTAATTCTTATATCATTGTCATCAATCTTACAACTGTCATGAGAATCGACGGCTTCTTTTAACTGTCGTTTACATCTTAAGCTGAAATTAACAGTTTGACATTTAGAAGGATTCAGTTTAAGACCGTTAGACTGAGACCATTTACTGACTCCCGACAGAAAGCTATTTATGTACACACACTAGATGCTTCAATTCAAGACAGTGGACAATATACTTTCACGAAATAAATTCATCAGTCTCATTCAACATCTGGCTATATGAAAATGTGATATATCAGGTGACCCAACAAAGGAAAACTTAGTGAAGCGTCTGAAGGGAGGATAGAAGTAATACAAGACTACCTGCCTATTAACACCGACGATATTCCTGGTTGTTGCGGTGGACTAGATCATGCGGCAGACTATGGTTAGGGCGACAAAACAGGAATACGCTGGACCAAAAATAAGGCTCTCTAGAATATCTGAACTTCGTGGATGACTCATACTTAATGTCGCACAAACTCGAATGTCTACAGGCGAAAAACAACATGTTGGAAGAAAACTAACTCATTAACTGGTTTCAGTGTAGAACTTTGCACAGACGTACAGTAGTTCGAGTTCCATCTATTCCCCTATGTAGCATACAAAGCAAATGTAGATGGTAAAGGGAGGTTGAAAAGAGAGATAACAAACAGAAGTGAGGGTAAAAGAATAGTAATATGAAAGCTTAGAAATAGGGAATGAAGTGGTAGAGCGCGTGGACCAATTCATTTATTTGGGAAGTTGCATGAGCCAACGCCAGTGGGTTGATCGCTGACGAGATTTCAGCACGGATACAGAAGGCTCGTTTCGCATATGCCAGTTTACGCTGTTTCTGACGTAGACGTGATATCCGGCTATCGACCAAAGGGCGGGTGTACTGCTCAGCAGTCCGCTCCGTCCTCTTTTATGACTGTGAGTGAGACATGGCCATTGAGAGTGGAATACGTGAAAAGGCCAGCTAGCTGTCTTTGATCATTGATACCTACGTTCAATCCCCCTTGTGTGTTACGTGGTGTAATAGGGCGGGCAATATTGACGTTAGACATCCGTTGAGTGTTAGGTAAGGAGGAAAGGAAGTCAGTCGGCAAGATTGTGAAGTTACACTGATTGAAGTGGTTATGGCATGTGTTAAGCATACCTGCCTAGCCATCGATCGCCTTCCTCGACATTGGACAATGTTAGCTGACACAGGATGGATCAGGCTGGAAGAGAGACAGCCAATGGTGGTCAAACCAAAACATGGCTTCACCAGTCAGTGAAATCCACAACAGTTCGTTTAAGCCAGCCAGCCACGTAGGAAGGTGCAGACTTCCTAACTGGTTGGGGTCCTCGGGACAGTAAACACTAGTGAGGGCTGGAAAAAATGGTGATATAGCTCAAAATCGTTCTCAATGACTGGTGCAGATGCATCCACTCCTTGTGATTTATGATTTCCAATGAAACTATATTGTTTTTCGTTGTTACTATTCCTTTTGTCTCATATCCCTGTCTACTGTTTCTATTTTTCATTTCTTCTCTTGCTTTGTGTGCTACAGGGAGGGAGTGTGGTGACTTGAACTGCTGCTCATCGGTGCAATAGTTCTATGTTGAAACCAATCAGTCAGTGAATATTGAAGAACAACAGAGTTTTATTGGATATGAAAAATCACAACAAGTGAATGCATCTTCACCGGCCACTGAAAAATATTTTGAGCCATATCACGAATTTTGTCCAGCCTTCATCGATTCTTACCATCCTGATGACCCAAACCAGGTAGGAAGTCTACACCTCTATAAGTGGCTGGCTTAAAATAACTGTTGTGGATTTCATTGACTGATGAAACCGTGTTTCGGTTTGACCACCACTAGTTAACTCTTTTCCAACCTGATCCATGCCATGCCAGTTAACATCGACCACCAAGGAAGACAACACATGTCTTAACTATCTCAATCGGTGTAACTTCACAACCTAGTCTATTGATCTCCCCTCCCACCTACCTAGCACTCGACCGATGCCTCACCCCAATATTTCTCACCCTACTGTACCAGTTAAAACAGGAGGTAGAACGCAGACACCTATGATCAAAGAGCTAAGCAGTTCCGTTGAGTGGAACTCGAATACGAAGCCACCATTTAGGCGTCTTAGGGTTACATGAAAGAGGTGAAAGTTAATAGACAGTTGTTCAGCCAGATATGAAGAATTGCAGAGAACACAATGAAAGGGAACCTTTAGAAACTCAAGGCAATAATAACAATATTAGCTAATTGCTCCAATACATACACATACGATTATTGATGCCTGAAGGTTAGTAGGATATTCAATGAATGAATGAATGAATGAAAGATACAAACAAAGAAAAGAGAAGAAAACGGGAACAATGAATTCAACCAATTACATCTCATCCGACAGCTGTACGACAATGCTGCATGCCAAGTAATCCACAACGGGAAACTTACGGAATCCTTCGCAGTGAGGACAGGAGTAAGACAAGCTGGCTGCCTACTATCGCCAATGATTTTCCTGATTACAGTAGATTGGATAATGCGACAAACAGCGGGCAATGAGGAAACAGGCATAAAATGGACCTACACAAAAACTTGGGGGATCTGTACTTCGCTGATGATATATGTCTGATTTCCCACAAACTGGAAGATATGCAAGCGAAAAGCAACAAGTTGGCAGAAGAAGCATCAAAGATAGGACTTCACTTAAGGTGAACATAGAGGAAACAGAGGTGATGAAGATTCCTGGCCAACACCCACAGCAACAACAACAAACGACAACAATCAGCATAAATGGGAGGAACCTGAGAGAAACAACCTCTTTTAGCTACCTGGGAAGCATCGTCTCAACTACAGGCGGAACTGACGAGGATATCAAAGCAGAGAGGATCGGAAAAGCAAAACAAGCTTTCATTACTCTCAAGTCTGTGTGGAGGTCAACAGCACTCAGTATCAAAAATAAGATCAGGATTTTCAACTCCAATGTGAAGTCAGTGCTACTATACGGATCAGAGACTTGGCGCGTCATAAAGAACATCTCAAACAAACTACAGACCTTCATTAACAGTTGTCTTCGCTCAATACCACTAAAGATCAGATGGCCGGCCAGAAAGGATCAGCAACAGAGGTCTCTGGGAGCGAACCAACCAGGAACCGATTGTGCAACAAATAGGCAGGAAGAAATGAAGATGGATTGGCTGGCCATACTCTGAGGAAACAAAGCATCAAGTGACATCACACGAAAGGCCATATCTCGATTGGAACCCGAAAGGGAAGCGGCGAGTTGGTCGTCCAAGTGTGACTTGGAGGAGGTCATGTGAAGAGGAAATGAAAGCATGTGGGGAGACGTGGAGCTAGGTGAAAACGTTGGCAGAGAACCGAACGCAATGGAGACGCACGGCTGAAGCCCTATGTTCCTCTAGGAATTAAAGGAAACAATAATAATAATAATAATACTAACACTTACCATTAAAGTATTCACAGCATATGCAATACAATGACAATTATTCTCATTCGCTTCTAAATCTAAACGATACAGACTAGATTCTTGACGTGCTAACCGTGGAAAAGCATTCGCCACAAAGACAACAAATAAACAGGCAATATGATATTCCAGTTCTTGATATGACAATCCACCAGTAGTACCATTCACTGTCAGATTGAGTCCAGCTTGATTTGCTGTCGCCAATGCAGCCATACGTCGATTATTTAGAATAGAACAGAGATTGTAATCTAAATGGGATGGAATACCAACCGATGCGCATAGATTATTTAACATTAATTGTTCATTGAAATGTGCATAGATACGTTCCATTTCATGTTTACCATTTTCATTTGGAGAACCAGATCCCATAGATGATGGTAGGGATAATTGACCACCGCTGGCTGATTTCTGTGTAATATGCGCTCGAAGATTTTGAACAGTATCCAGGAGGAATGGAGTACGTTTCTTTCAGGGAAAAGGAAAGTACAAATTAGAATAAGTAATAAGAAGGAAGTTTAATATTTTAGATGTGTGCAAATATTCATATATATATAACACTAAGTAACCTACTTTCGATCAGCACACGTCGGTGGCATGGCGGTTAGGACACTCGCCGACCATGCATATGCTCCGGGGTTCGATCCCCGGCCGCCAACGCACTCCTTTACCTCGCTAAGCCAGAAATAATGCTGGTGAAGAGAAAAGGTTGGGCATGAGGCTAGCAACCCCATCCTGTAAAAATAAACACTGCTACTGAAACTTCAAGACTCTAGCTTGAAGCCCTATGTTCCACTGGTAACGTGAAGGAATAAAAAGAAACTTTGGATTATGAAAAGACCTACACTAAATGATTGATTGATGTGAGTGTAACTGTAAACAACTCACTGACTGACTGACTAGTTTCAAAGTAGAACTTTGAAAACCGATGTGCAGCAGTTCGAGTTGACACACTTCACTTAGCACACAAAGCAAGAGAAGAGAGTAAACAAAACGATATTGTTTTTACTGACGTTTCGCTATTTAATGCTAATAGCTTTATCAAAGTATTATTAAACCGGAATTTACAAAATCTCAGCATATATATAACAAACAGTTAGGGGGTGAGGAAATAGACAGGTCAAGTTAAAGGGACATATTGAAAGTAAAAATAGCAATGAAGATAACACGAATGTGATAAGCAAATTCACTATGTAAACAAACACACACTACTTTTATAATTTTACACACCGATCAAATCCAACAATCCACACTTGATTTTGTTATCTTTACCAATTGACCAACTTGACAACGAAAAATGACCCCAGACTAACGAACGATTATCAAGTTAATAAACTTTATTTTGATATCATAACAGACGTACTGTTACCTTTGTTATTTGGTTTAGTGATCTTCATTGCTATTTTTACTTTCAATATACCCCTTTAACTTGACCAATGTCTATTTTCTCACCCCCTAACTGTTTGTTATATATATGCTGAGATTTTTAAAATTCCGGTTTAATAATACTTTGATAAAGCTATTAGCATTAAATTGCGAAACGTCAGTGAAAACAATATCGTTTTATTTTTCATTCATTGGGAAATACAAAAACTTTTCTTATAATGAATATCATATACCCAATGGCCAATTTTTTTCAAGCTGTTAAAAGTGAACTTGGTTTGGACATACATAGAGTAAACAGAGATTCAAAACAGAGAAATTGAGGCAGAAAGAATAGTAATACAGAAGAACAATAGAATCTTATTGGATATGACAAATCCCGAAGAGTAAGTGCATCTCCGTGCCCACATTGACAACGATTTTGATTCATTCATCACCACCAACTGCCTACAGTTGTCATTGGTTATTACCATGCCGAAGACCCCAACTAGTCAGGAAGTCTACACCTCTCCTAAGTGGATGGTTTAAACGAACTGTTGTGGATTTCACTGACTGATGAAGCCATGTTTTATTTTGACCACAACTGATTCTTTTCTAGTCTGATCCATCCTATGCCAGCTAACACTGCCTGTCGAAGAAGGTGATGGCTAGGCATACGTAACACATTTCCTATGCATCTCAATCGATGCAGCTTCACAACCTCGTCTATGGATTTTCCCTTCCATCTACCTAGCACTCGACCGATGCCTAACCACAATATTGCTCACCCTATTATATCACCTAACACGGGAAATAGAACGCAACCATCTATGATCACAGCCATAAAAGAGGACGGAGCAGACAGCTGAGCAGTCATTTTAACCAGTATTGCTTTCTGGTCAGAAATCAAGTGCTTTGGATTGATTTGACTCCTTTTGAGTTGAGTTAACCCGGGAACACCACTGATTAATTGGATTCCAAATGAGAGGAACGACTGTCTGGTGTTTAGGCGACCTCAATTTGGCAAACCAGAAAGCACTACTGTTTTTTGATGCGATTGGTATAAAACTACTCATACCAACTAATCAGTAGTATATAGTCTTATGCAAATATTCTTCCTATCTTGGTTACCACTTATGGCATCAAGCATCATATACTGCGATCTAAATAATTTGGTTTCCAAAGGGAACTCTGTAGAGAAGATTTCACTTCACAACCTGGGTGTACACTGGAAATTACCAACTATTTCGGAACATTCAAGTGCTGGTTTGCAGGGATTTGATTGGTTACATGATTACATTATGATCTGACACTGCTTAGGGAAACATTGGAAACCACCAGGAAGTACTTGACAGCTGTTTCGTTGTAGTTTGGGACTCTTCAGCACTTGGACGAAACAGTTGTCCAGTACTTCCTGGTCTGACTGACTGGTTTCAGCGTAGAACTTAGCATAGAAGTACAGCAGTTAGAAATACTACACTCCACGAAGCATACAGAGGAAGACAAAAGAGAGGAAAACACAAATTCAAAAAAGGCACAAAAATATAGGGAAAATATTCATTCAAACATCTAGAAAAAAACAAACAAAATATATGAGCAAAGAATATCCTTTTCGATAATTTCCTCTTCTGGCTGTACAGTTACATATATGTCTGTTTATATACATAGAATATTCTAGGATAGTAGTCATTAACAATATTGGTGTTTTTTAAATAATATCGATTTGTTAAGTAAGATCACAATGGAATTGCCACAGTTCATTAAAGATGCTTAAATAATAATAATAATATAATAGCAAATAGAATTGAGGATCATTAGAACCTAGATAGCCAAGGTAAGGATAATGTCTCAACCAGCTTCTTTTGGATGCATAAATTAGGCTTCGTAATGTGGATCCCTACGGTCTCAGCAATATTTAGTAGACGAACTGTGAAGATTAGTTGGTATGTGGTAGATGACTTCGAAAGCTGCCTTGTTTACATCAATCTTGTGTTCTGTATCTACAAGATGAAACAGTATAGAACTATGAATGGACTTTGTTTGTCCTTCACTCAACCACAGAGGATGGTGTTCGGAAATCCGACGATAAACACGCCTAACTGTAAGGCCTCTGCAGCTAACTGCCTCCCTTCACAGCAGGAACAGTTAAATTGGTAGATATACATAGAAGAGGAAAAATTAGACAGTTTATTTTTTACTCCAGAAGTCGAAATAGGAGTGGTTTTGAAGACACAACGTACTTCAGCGGCAATTAATGCTCTTTTTACCACATTCCTTAGGCGTTGTGTTAATACCTCACCGATGTCACCATCACCGAGGAACTGAAGTTGTAAGAATAAGGCTTTTTACGGAGATGTTGGTTGGTAGTTTCGCTTGCCTTGACTCTTGATTCATATTCTTACCGATAAATTTTTCTGGGTAACCGTTCTCACTCAGGAACCATTTAATAATATCAGGTTCTTCATTAAGACATTCCTCAGAGCAGATTGCTCTTGCTCTGAGAACCAAGCACTTTATTGGAGTGCGTTTGTATTTTAAGAGCACAAAGCTGAAAAAATGAGTATACTGATCCGTTGATGTAGGTTTTCTATACATACTTCTTCTTATTGTACCATCCTCTTTTCTGGTCATGAGGACGTCTAGAAATGAAATACTGGTGTCTTTTTCTTTCTAAATAGTAAAATTTATTGCAGGATGAACCTCATTAAATTTATCCAGGATGTTCTTCGCTTCATCCTCATTTTTCATCGTAATCAAAAATGTGTCAGCCATGTACTGACAATGGAATTCAAGTTCAACTATTACACCTTTTAAAGGCCCGTTTTCTGGTTTCGCAAGGAAAATGTCGTCTAGAATGGGTCCTAGTGATGACGCCATTGCCACACCATCGATTTGTCAGTATAGATCCTTATTAAATAAAAAGTGAACATACATTGTGCATTTCAAGAGAAGCCTTTTTATAAAAGATATAGGAATGCTGACATCGATGTTTCGTCTTATGAGTTCTTCGCATACAAAGTCTACTGTTTCCATAAGTGGTACACATTGGTGAATAAGGAGGATACGTCAAATGATTTCATGAATTTATTGTCAACATTTAAATCTTTTATTCTTTCAACAAATCCAATTTTGGTATGTAGAGGCTGTAACAGTTCGACTACTAACCATTTGGCTACGGGATGGTATGGTGAATTTAACATAGCTAACACCGGTCGAAGTGGTACACCATTTTTATGCACTTTAGGTGAACCATATAATCTTAGTGTAAAAGTTCCAGGGCGTTTCAGTGATGTATACTGAATTTGTGTGATAAAGTCTTGTTGTTTCAGTCTTTTCAATGTTTCCGCTAACTGTTTCTCTATCTTTTCAATCGGATCCAGAGAAGATGAGATATTTTGGAATTTTAGATTTTCACTAGGAATAGTATTCATTTTCTCGAAGTAAGCAGAAATGTGACAGAGAGAAAGAATAGTGACATGGGAAAACATGCAGGGAATGCATCTGTGCCATTGACAACTTTCCGACAGCTTAATCCTATGTCAGCTGACATTGGTCATTTAGATGAATATATGCATAGGATATAGTGTAACTTTTCCATTGATACTCCCATGCTAAACTGGGAGATGTTTTTATCACATGTGAGGAAAAGGTATCCTATATAACACTTTTATACAGTTTTTGTGCTTTATTTTTTACATAAATATATGTTCAAGTATTGGTTTTGTAGGGATTTTGTTTGATTGCATGGAGGATTTCATCATGAGCTGACATCAGTTAGAGAACCATTGGAAAACCTGGGAGTACTGGACAGCTGTTTCGTCCTAGTTTGGGACTCTTCATCAGTACGCACCCACAGGGATTCGAACCCAGGGCCTTCTGGTTACAAGGCGAGCTCGTAGACCATTGAGCCACTGGGACCCGATCCAATGGTCCATGAATTCTAACTTCAGCCAATTCATGACATAGCACGACATATATGTATTCAATACCCAAAAAATGCCTCCTTCATGTGATTGGTGAGTTCAAGGTCATTCGCTGATTGGTAGTTAGTAGTGATAAAAGTTTGACTTTGCCACATTGCTGATAATGATTGACTGACTGACTGGCCTGGTTTCAAAGTAGAACTTTGCACAGATGTGTAGCAGTTCGAGTTGCCACACTTCATTGAGCACACAACAGTAGATGAAAAGGAGGAATAGAACTATAATGAGTAGAAATGTGTACAAGAGAAAGAAAAGTAACCTGGGAAAACATGACAGCTTAGTGGATATGGGAGATCTCAAAGAGTCATTTTAATTATAACAGCAACAATCCAATAACACACAAAAGGAATTGCATACAAACACTATTCAAGAGGGCCAGAACTCATTGCAGCACTCCAACCTTAAGGAAAATTGAAGAAAGATATCTCATGGACGTCTGTCTTCCAATAGAATGGATATTCACAGAATTTCATCAAAAAAAAAATTATTATTATTATTAAATATCTACCCACAAGCCAACCTATCAAATCAAAGGCCCCCAAGGGAAACACACAGAAAATCGCCCTACCATATATAAAGGACATGTCAGAAATCACTGCAAGACTCGTCAAACCTTTAGGAATTGACGTCGCACACATACCAACAAAATCACTTCACTCAGTTCTATGTCAACCAAAAGACTCAACAACGAAAGAAGATAAAACCAACATCATCTATAAAATAAATTGTAACGACTGTGAAAAAACACTACATTGGCCACAGTCGATTTCCCCTTCGTCTTCGTATCCATAAACATAAGCTAGCCGTCAACAGACATGACATCCACTGCCTCATATCACTACATACAGACAACCACGGACATCAATTCGACTGGGACAACCAGTGTTCAAATATTAGACATAAGAAACACCAAGAATTCTAGAGAATATTTAGAAGCCTGGTATTCCAGTGAATTATCAATCAATAGACAAATCGAGATCGACAAAATTTACCAACCGATAAGAAGGAAATCTCACCCACAAAAAGTCAAAGTTCAAGTCAAGGAAACAATCAGTTCCAATACAGGTAGCCTAGAAGGTGTGAAAACACACAGAAACAACCAATCACACGTTCAGGGTGACCAGGAGAGATGACTAATAAACTCATGGAGAAATCTAAAAGCTCACTTCAATGAATTGAAGTATGCGCTGAAGATGTTACCTAGTAGGGTAATGAAAGCTTCGCAAATAACCCACCCAGCTAGCTCAGAGAGCACAACCACATCAAAATCATCCACCTGAGCTACAAATCTCCTCCATCATATTCACCATCAATGTTCGTGTCTCACAGTTCACAAACTCTTCTGATGGACAGGAGGACATGACGTTTACGTCAGAGATGGTGTAAGTTTGCAAATGCCAAATGTTAAATCATAGTGATTTGAAAAAATTTAAGGGGGAGGGGTACAGGCGACTTCATTCAATAACTTCCAAATGTATCTCTGCATCTATGATAGGCTGTACAAATGAAATATTGGGACTATTTGTTTGTCTGAAATTCAGGCCTTCATATATATATATATATATATATATATATATATATATATATATACATAAACAAATGTAGGCTGGTATACACACATATATGTAATTAAGATTGACAGGTGGATCGATAAAAAAACCTGACATAATGCCAAATCTAGTGGAGTTGTGGCTCATTGGTTTATATAATTCCGTTTTAACCACCGGGGTCCCAAGTTTGAGTCCCGTTCCCCTTACCTTCTCTTAGCTTAGGGAACTCGAACAGTATTATCAGCTGTCAGAGAATAAGTGCTTGACTCACAGTCAGGTAGGTAAAAAATTTGTTCCGAATAATTCAGCTCTGACTGGCATAAGTAATCATAATAACAGCTTTATGCCAAGCAATACTTTTGATACAATGTGGAATATTTAGCATGCAAATGGCCGTAAAAAACGGCCGCTTTCACGTTCTCTGACTCCCAAGCCACACACGGATGAACTTAGGATGTCACTTTGTTGGTCTTCATAGGCAGCTTGGCTATTAAGCAGGACATTACCCTGAGTGATGGTCACACCACCGAACAATTTTTTCAACTCCTCATCTTTGCGGATAACAAATTGTAAGTGACAAAGGATGATACGGGTTTATTACTTGTTTTGTTTAGTTGGCTCCACAGGACTAATTCTTTAACCGACAGAGTTTGTGGGTTTGAATGGCACTTTTATTTCTGCTCAGTTAAAAATTCCCCTTAATAATATTAGATGGTTGGAGGCAATCGAAAAGAAGCCTTCGACCTAGGTTTCATGCTAGTTGGCACTCGTCAGCAGATACACCTTGCTTCCTGTCGATTGCCTCCAACCATCTGATATCATCAAATCAATGTGCACCGTGATGGCGAGCTACTTAGAATGGTGGCCACATTACAAACCTGACTGACAGAATTCAGTTTGCACCAAATAAAGGACTAGATACATCACACTGGTTACTAGTGTCCAAACAAAAATTCTCCTTAAGGTTTCCAAGGTTCCTTCTTTGTACTGGAGTACTGCCGGTGACTTAAACTCCTTATTGTCGGTGTTGTCGTTAATTCTACTCATGTTTATCATGCATGTCGTCATTAGTGTTATTACTATTATTACCATTATTATTCATTTATTTTTTACATTTTCCTATATACTTCCTGATTAATTAATCTGGGTAATTATTACGTTTCAAAGCTTCTCTTATGTGTCTTACTTCCTGTCTTAGATTCTCCTTGATACTGTTCAGTTTTTTCGTCTTAAAATGTACTATATAAGAGCAGAGATACAGATTGATAACGGAAGGTCTATTTATCGAATCAACTGAGAATACCTGTCATAGGAATGATTCAACATTTGCCAACCGGGACATCTGAAAAATTCTACTACCCCTACGAAGGCGGATAGGAAAGAGTAAAGAAAACTATAAAATAAAAGTTTTGAAATTGTGTAGTTATAGTTGATATGATTATAAACAGTAATAAATTGTATTCGTAATGTCAACTAGTAAATAAAGCTGTTTTACCATGTGATGTATTGAATAAACAAATTAATATGGAATAACACACTACACACCACAGTGACCAAGTTTGATAAACAAATATATTAAACATTCTCTGCCAGTTAACAATCGAAAACTTGCCTGTAAACAGACAACGGATTTCGATTTTTTTGTGTTTATTGGTGTTAATCGATGTGGGATAATAATAATAATATCGCCTGAGATGGTTAGGACATGTGTTACGCATGCATGCTTAGCCATCGATCGCCTTCCTCGACTCGACGGGTAGTGTTAGCTGACATAGGGTTAAGCTGGAAAAGAGCTGGCGGTCAAACTGAAATATGGCCTCATCAGCCAATGAAATCCACCACAGTTAGTTTGAGCCAAGTAGGAAGGTGTAGACTTCCTGACTAGTTGGAGTTCTCAGGACGGTAAACACAAATGGGTGGAGACAATTGGTGATATGGCTCAAAATGGTTCTCAATGGCTGGCACAGATGTATTCACTCTTTGTGACTTATGATACCCAATGAAACTATATTGTTCTTTGTTATTAATATTCCTTTGTTTCACATTCCTGTCTACTGTCTCTATTATGCATTTCTTCTACTTTTTTCTCTTGCTTTGTGTGCTACAAGGAGGGAGTGTGGTAACTTGAATTGCTGCACATGAAAGCCAAATTCTCCTTACACGATTTGACCTACTCTGATTGAAGGCTTATAATGACCCCAAACAATTTGCTTATAAACATTGCAGGTGTACTTTAGATGCCACAATTGTCTTACATCATGATATTGCCTCTAGTTTAGACAGGGGTGACAAATATGTTCGGTGTGTCTTTCTTGATTACACATCTGCCTTTGACTCTGTACATAGGCTTCTTTTGTTAAGCAAACTTGCTGCGACGCAAGCAGAGTACTAGACTGATAGGCGTTGGCATTTGTATTTTTCTGACAGAAATCAGTACACTGTTTACAATGGGAAGCCCTCCACTGCGTCACTTATTCTAGCTGGTGTTCATCAACGAGTGTTGTTCTTTCTGCTTTTCTGTTTTCTTTCTTCTTACATGACTTACTTGCCTAATTCTGATGAAGCCCATTTCATTAAGTCTGCCGATAATCTGACTGTTTCTATGCCCGTGGTTACTTCTCAGTCAAATTGTTTACTTTTACGGAATGGGGTCGCTAGCCTCATGTCTAATCTCCCCTTTTTACCAGTCTTATTATTGGCTTAGTGCGGTAAAGGTGTGCGTCCTCCGGAAATCGAAACCCTAACCACATGCGTGGTTGGCGAGCACTCTACCGTTGCGGCACCGACGCCAAAATGCTTCATAAAATCCAAAATTTCAAAATCAATCAAAACAGGAAGGTTCTGAGTTCGAACCCTGGGAGTGGGTGTGTATATATGAAGAGTCTCAAACGTGGAAGGCGAAACAGCTGTCCAGTACTCTTTACTAGTTTTCCACTGGTTCTCTCTCCCTCTCTAACCAATGGATGTCAGCTAATGATGAAATCCTGTAAAAACCAAATTCATTATATTATGACATTTTAAAAGGAAAGCGAGAGGGAGAGAGAGAGAAGCGAATCAATAAATGTCATGCACAAAAAGTGAATATTAATCAGATAAAACTTACTTGTAGTACAGAATTAACAGCTTCAAAGCATAATTTACGAAATGCCAATGATACACCGATTTCTTTCAGTAAATTTAACAATTGATCACAATTTTGTAAATTTCCATTGAGTTGACGTGTTTTCACCGGGTCATGAATACATTCACGTAGAGATTCTAATGTACTACGATTTTGTCGTACTAGCTTATTGATTTCATCGACACGATCACCAACAGAATGCATTAATCGATCACATATGAATTTTATGCCCAATGGACCTATTGAAGCATACATCCACAATAACAAAGTAGTAAATAGGTGAATAGAAATGGGAAAAACAAAAATAAGGCAAATTATTGATCTCAACAATATCACTTATAGGAAAAACTAACGAGAAGTTACTTTTCTAGTGTTATTGTGAAGAAAGTACTGCTCAGCAGTCCGCTCCGTCCTCCTTTATGGCTGTGAATGAGGCATGGCCATTGAGGACATGTGTTACGTATATGCCTAGTCATCACCTTCCTCGATGGGCAATGTTAGCTGATATAGGGTCAGACTGGAAAAGAGCTAGCTGCGGTCAAACGAAAACATGGCACCAGCCAATGAAATCTACAACAGTTAGTCTAAGCCACGTAGGAAGATGTAGACTCTCTGGTTGGGGTCCTCGGGACGGTAAAAACCAACGGTTGGAAACTATTGGTGACATGGCTCAAAATCGTTCTCAATGGCTGGCGCAGATGCATCCACTCCTTGTGACTTATGATTTCCAATTAAACTGTTTTGTTCTTCGTTATTACTATACCTTTGTCTCACACCTCTGTTTACTGTCGATATTATGCATTTCTCCTACTTTCTTCTCTTGCTTTGTGTGCTACATGGAGTGTGACCACTTGAACTGCCGCACACATGTGCAAAGTTCTATGTCGAAAACAGACAGACTTGGATTGTGAAGAAATGGATCTCTGTGTGTAACAGACGATTCTAACCTCTCTCTCTCTCTCTCTCGCCCTCCAGATAGTGTACCTCCCAACTTTATGACAATTCTGATTTTCCAGTTTGACTTCGGATTGATATCAGTCAGGGAAGCATTGAAAACCACCAGGGAGTACTGGACAGCTGTTTCATCCTATTTTGGCACTCTTCAGCAGTACGCACCCACTGAGGTTCGAACCCACGACCTTCCGGTTACAAGGTAAGGTCGTATACTATTCAGCCACTGGGACGTGATTTAATTCTAACATCTACCAACTTGTAACCGGAAGGTCCTGGATTCGAACCCTGGTAAATGGGTTCGTACTGCCGATGAGTCCCAAACTAGGATGAAACAGCTGTGCAGTGCTCCCTGTGGCTGGTTTTCAATGCTTCTCTAACTGATATCAATCCGTGGTCAAACTCGTATGAACACATCTAATCCTTACAAACCAAACTCTTGAAAATTCTCATTTTGAAAATGGTTATAGTGGCATTGAGTGGACAAAGGAATGTTGGTGACCATACTGTGTAATGGAAAAGCTGTTTGGAAGATCCCTCCTGAACGATCTAATTACAGTACTGACAATTATTTGAATGGTTACAGGATTTTCATTATGAGCTGACATTGGTTAGAGAACCATTGGAAAACCTGGGAGTACTGGACAGCTGTTTCGTCCTAGTTTGGGGCTCTTCATCGGTACGCACCCACCGGGATTCGAACCCAGAACCTTCTGGTTACAAGGCGAGCTCGTATATCATTAAACCACTGGGACCCGATCCAATGGCCCATGACTTCTATTGGACCTATTGGATCGGGTCCCAGTGGTTTAATGATATACGAGCTCGCCTTGTAACCAGAAGGTTCTGGGTTCGAATCCCGGTGGGTGCGTACCGATGAAGAGCCCCAAACTAGGACGAAACAGCTGTCCAGTACTCCCAAGTTTTCCAGTGGTTCTCTAACCAATGTCAGCTCATGATGAAAATCCTGTAACCAGTCAAATCCCTACGAACCAACACTTGAATACTTATTTGAATGATTTAACCAACTTTGTAATTATTATTCGTTTTTTTTCCTTAGACTGTATATTATTATTTTGACATTTGCCTATTACATTTTGATTTGATCCTTATTATTTGTCTTTGTTACTATTTATTCTCTAATTTCACTGGTTCTCTTTGTGGTTGTATCATGGTAATATTGATAGTGTGTTGTTTTACAACTGGAATTTTGTTTCAGTGGATAAAGGTCATTTCTGCCCCTGGACTGTCTGGTGAAATTGTTGACGTGTGATTCTTGTGGGCAGAGTTTTTGATTCCACCTTTTTTGGAGGAATATTCTACTTGATTCTCAGGTATTTATTACGGTTGGTTTTTCTTGATTAACTAATTTTGTTCCACTGTGTTTGTTTTATGCTAGAAACTTATCTGATCTGTATAGCTGCCCAAACAGTATTATTGAGGTAATTTTGTTGGAAAGAACAATAGATTTTCTGGTGAGTAATCGCCTTTTTGCTGTCTTTGGAGCTTTTTGTAACTGTGTGTGTCCCAAGGAAGTTTTAGCCAGCTATATAGTAGGATGCAGAGATTGGTTTCCTGCGTTCAGACACCATCACACTGTCAGTTTTTGCCACTACATGCATCTTTAAAACAATTAGCTGCTTAAATAAATTTGGTTGACTGACTGACTGACTGGCTGGTTTCAACACAGAACTTTCCATGGATGTGCAGCAGTTCGAGCTGGCACACACCCTCCATGTAACACACAAAGCAAGAGAAGAGAGTATGGAGAGATTCAAAAGAAAGAGTTAATAAACAGAAGTATGCGGCAAAAAGAACAGTAATACAGAAGAACAAGAGTTTTATTAGATATTACAAATCGCAAACAGTGAATGCATCTCCCCGCCCCCATTGACAACGATTTTGAGGCATATCACCGATTGTCTCCAGCCACTAGTTTATACCATCTCGAGGACACTAACCAGCCAAGCAGCGTACACCTCCCTGTGTGGCTGGCTGGTTGGCTTAAAATAACTGTTATGGATTTCATTGATTGATGAGGGCATGTTTTGGTTTGACCATCACTAGCTCCTTTCCAACCTGATCCATCCTATGTCAGCTAATATTGGCCGTCAAGGAAGGCGATGACTGGACATACGTAAAGCAACACATGTCCTAACCATCTAAATCGATGCAGCTGCTTCGCAACCTCGTTGAATGATTTCCACTCCTTCCACTAGCACTCGACCAATGCCTAACCTCAATATTACTCACTATATTATACTACCTAACACAGGCGATAGAACGGAGAAATCCGTGGTCAAAGACAGATAGCCTTTACATTCATGTCTTCCACTTTCAATGGCCATGTCTCACCGACAACCATAAAGGAGGACGGAGAGGACTGCTGAACAGTACACATGCCCTTCGGTCGACAGCCACCTGGATATCATGTCTACTGAGTTCGAGATGACGTAATTTGGCATATGCCACGTCAGCCTTCTGCATCCATGCTGATTTCGTCAGCGATTAACCCTCTGGAACTGATGTATCCTCCCCAAGCAAGTGAAGTAAGTGGTCAACAAGCACTACCATTTCACTGCCTCTCTATCTTTGAGCTAGTTAGGAGTCAATGTAGTCTAGGACACTTCTGTAGCATCATGTTATATTTGACGGGAGCGAATCGCATGCCAAACATTCGAAGATTGCTGCTCCTCAAGGTGTTCAGAAGACTCTGCATTTTGTCATCGTCTTCACCTAGGAGACAGGACTATATCATCCGCATATTCTAAGTCAACGAGACTATTATTCCCTGGTAACAAGTCACTCTCTGAGCTGTTGATGTCAGTTAGGGTTAATCCCATTAGTACATCTATGATGAAATTAAACAGAAATGGGGACAGTAGGCATCCCTGATGGACACCACTGGTTGTCATCACAGCTATCAGATGACAGCTCTCTGTAGACTCTCACCTGGCTGGCTGGATGCGTTCGAGTACAATGCCTTGATCAGTGCGATCTATTTTCTCAGTATTTCCTTCACAGTCAAACATAGTCATAGCACCTCTCGGCCGACGGAAATCAATAACACCAACCAAAATTAAAATTTCGATAGTGTTATTTATTAGAAAATGAAGATTACCTGACAAATGTATGGTGTATTCGTGCAACATGCATTTCGAAAACAATCTGATCACACACAGACATTTAATTGTCAAGTCAATTTATACATGAAAATGACGAAAACCAATTAAAACAAACAAAATGATAAAGTATTTAAGAACAAGACGGATAAATAATTCACACTACTTTTCAAGTGTTAGTCAATAGGCATTCCTATTGATTTCAAGTTTTGGATTGATTATCAGTTCAAGGACCATTGAAAACTAACTGCACAGTCGTTTCGTCCCACTTTGAGACTCACCATCGGTACGCACCCACCAGTTTTCTATAGTTCTCTCTAACTGATAGCAATCCATGGACAAAACTTGAAATGAATCAAATCCTTACAAACGAATTTTTGATAAGTAGTGTGAATGATTTATCCGTCATATTCTTAAATAGTTTTTGGAATCTGGACACCAAGCCAACCCACAAACCAACACCAAAGTCATCTAAAGAATATGCGGCAACTATCTTGTTAAAAGAGTGTGAATCAAACTTCTTCAAACCACAGAAGCAATGGTAATTCCCCTGTTAAATTCTGAACTCTGTATACAGAAGACGTTTACTCAGTCATTAAATTTACAATGGACCTGATCTGTTTTAACACTGGATTGGATAAGAAATTTTTGCTTTCGTCCTTTTTTAGTTGTATTACTTTTTTCCCCCACCACCTGTTAAATTCGTACCCCTTATTACCACTGCTGTTAACTTGACTGACTATCGTTCAATTTTAATTGAATTCTACGCATCCCATCCATTAAATTACATCACTCAACTTACTTATTTATGTGTTGGTTTATAGGGATTTCATTGGTTACAGGATTTCAACATGAGCTGACATCAGTTAGGGGACCATTAGAAAACCTGGGAGAAGTCGTGGCCAGTGGAGTAAAGCAGGTCAGGTGTGGGGACTAATAATCGCGCTATATCGTGAACTGGCAGAAGCCGGAATTCACGGTCTGACCATTGGATCGCATCCCAGTGGCTGAATGTTCTACGAGGTCGCCTTGCAACCAGAAGGTCCTGGTTTCGAACCGTGTTGGTGGTTGAGTAATGACGAAGAGTCTCAGACTAGGCTGACGAAGCAGCTGTCCAGTACTCCCTACTGGTTTCCCACTAGTTCTCTAACCGTTGTCATTTCACGCTGAAATCCTGTTACTTATTTAGTTTCATTTCAGTTTCCACCCGATTAACGCTTTTCATATTATGTAATTTGTTATCTAAAATTTACAGTTCTAATGACACAGCTTTGGAAATATTGCTTTTATTGCTAAGAGAATTATATATATATATATATATATATGATTGTTGAGGAGGCCATCGAATGACATCGCGTGCCAGGCCATCACTCGAGTGGACTCCCAATGGGAAGCGACGAGTCGGTCGTTACTACGGGGGTGACATGGAGGAGATCGTGAGAGTTGGAGGAGATAAGAGATTATGGGCAATCGTGGGAGAGGACAGCAGAATATAGAACAAAGTGGAGATGTGTTGTTGAGGCCCTATGTTCCACTCGGAACCTAAAGGAACGATAATAATAGTAATAATAATAACAATAGTAATAATCAGGATGGAAATTCACATTGCCTGATTCTAGGTTCGTGATCAAAAGGTTTTGTGTTCAAAGAAGAAGAGAAAGAAGAATAAAATATGCACCGACGAGTTCGAAAAGTTTTCTCTTTCTTTTTAGTTTTTATTTCATACGAATTGAGAATCAATAAACATGTGAACGATAACAACATAATCCTTGACCATATACAATTGACATGAATTATATGAAAAAAGGCTGACATGTGAGTTTCAAATACTATACTGTCACAGACTGCTTAACAAACTATATACATGGACCAAATAATAATTATTATTATCACCATTACTATTACATTATTTGTGGCTTAAATGATCTGCTTTCAGACACTGGATTCTGGGTTTAAAATCCACTTCGGTCTAACCTACTTCATCATCGACAACTGAACAGAGATTTGATTGGTTGACTACGGGTTTGATCACACGAAGGTTTACTAGACCGTTGATTTTGTCATAAGTGTAGAACATTCAAGAACAGATTTTTCATGTACACGGGTCTATGCAAGAATACGCACTTTGTGTGTGGGCTAGTGATATTATCCAGTTAAAGATTTGATCACACTAGTGGATATCAGTAAGAGGACCACTGGGAAACCACCAGGGAGTACTGGACAGCTGTTTCGTCCTAGTGTAGCGCTCTTCGTCATTACGCACCCACTGGGGTTCGAACCCATGGGATTCTGGTTTCAAGGTGAGCTCATAGACCATTCAGCCACTGGGACTCGATTCAGCTCAACAAACGTATTAAGGAGCACCTTCCTTCATATATCAATTGATTGATAGCGGTCACCAAGTGGACAGAAGAAGGGCCTTCAATGTTACCTGTCGCATTCTATACAACCTTTCGAAAGGAATTCGAACCTGCCTTTTGCACATAGCTGAAGCTGTGGGAATTAATTCGACAGAACAATCCTAGTCTCTGCATACAAAAGAAGTTTGTTCTACCTTTGTCTCTCCCTTGCTTTCCTAGGTAAAGTTTAATTAAAACCCTCCTACAATTTCTTATTTTACACTTCGTTTGTGTTCAGATGATATTTATTTAAACTGATTATCTGTCCATTTCACGTAACTTTTAGGATTTGACCTAATTATTTATTTAATGAATTGTCTACATATACACACACATATTGATTTGATTTGATTCACTTCGGCTATCTCCTACGGGAGGATGAGCCGGCTTCATGAACATCTCGAATGAGAGTCGTTTGTAAGAGAGTTCATGAAGTTTCATGGGAATTTGGTACGAGTGATTTCCCCAGAATTGCTCAGCCTTTTGTTTGAGAGTGCAGCTCTAGCCTTTACACAACCAAGTGTGACCTACAAGGCAGTAGGAGTGGAGTAGGGAGTCCACTATCCACTATGTGTGTAAACTATTAAAATATAATTATACTTTATTTGATCTAATCCACAATGCTCAAACTTTTTACTGATATTAGTCCACTATCCATTGGCAGCCGGTGACCGGAGTTCGGTTCATACGCCTTTTTGAATGGGGCCAGACATCCAGGACATCCAACAAGCCCTTTGTCTATACGTCTGCCGGTGAGCTCCAGTGAGCTTCATACGCCAGTCGTTGGTGGTTTGGAATCAGGGTTTAGCCATCTTCCCTAGACTGTCATCCAGTGGACAGTCAACCCGGTGAAGAGCGCCGGGCATCCGCATTCGCCCTCTCACTTTGGTGAAAAACACCTCCGCCACGTGAAGGCAGTGAGTAGGACTTCCTCAGGAGAGGCTATGTAAGACGCCCGGTCATATGGGAGCATTTCAAGAGGTGTTCGGAGGGGCGGCTAACCCGCAGAGCAAGGCACCCAACCCCGACCATCCTGAGGCTTTGGAGGCACCTGCATAAACCTTATTACCATCATTATTTTGTTATCAGTACAATCATCGTTATTAATGACGTTCAAAACATTTACCACACTATTATTATTATTCTTATTTGATCCCCAAACTCACCGTCATTGGTAAAATTTTGCTTGATATATAAATCTAGGTAAATTAGAGTAAAGCCTGAAGAAGATCTAATTGAGAACAACAATATTGTTCGCTTATATGTCTTGTTCTAATATTAATAACGGGAGTAAGATGAACAGCAATAAATTCTGCTCCAAAACTTATCAGTAAATAATACTGTGGATCACACTGTTCGGTTTATTATTAAGATAAATTTATTCCATGATGGAGTTATTCCCTACCACAGAGCCCAAATTCTATTCTCATATCAAAGACATTAAATTTCCACTTCCCTAAAAAGAAAACTTCCCCTGCAGCAACTCTAAGAATGATATTATCTAGCCGCCCACTGATTCTGAGGAATATGAATGATAGGCTTCCGTATATAACCACTTCACTGTGCGCATATCTCAGTTCACCTGCTCCTGAAGAGCTAAGCACCTAGGTCGTTTTCTATGAGGCTCCTATCAAAATGTGTTAGAGACCATTACCGAGAATGGCTGTAAAGAAGAGGCATAGGTTCAATCAGAAGAAGCTCCATAAGTGAACACCTCGTCAACACCTATCACAGCATCTCAAATGACTACTGATCATTCAGAGTCATTTACACAGTAAATTAAAATCCACCAAGGACAGCCAGTGTGTTTCCGACTTCGCTATACAGCAGAAGCCCTAGCCATATGCATCGAAAAGACAGAGCTATGTGTCCAAAAGAAACTAGTCTAACCTCTATGTTTACTGTGGATCTAGTTCGGTTTGTTTCTTTAGGTTTCGTTTTTCCATCCCCATCCTATGTTAGGTGACTTAGGATGGATCAAGTTGGAAAAGAGCTAGTGGTCGGCAAACCAAAACATGGCATCATCAGTCAATGAAATCCTCATAACAATTAGCTTAAGTCAGCCACGTAGTTAGGTACAGACTGCTTGTCCAGTTGGAATCCCCAAGATAGTAAGAACCAATTAAGGCTGGAGACCATCGTTGTCAATGGCTGGTGTAGATGCACTCACTCATTCCTACCGGCGTCCAACAATCATTATATTTCTTGACCTAAAGGCGACATTCGATTCTGTCGACCGAGAGGTTCTCTGGCGATGCTTGCCTGTAAAGGGAATGCCGAGAAAATACATAGCACTGATTAAGGCACTCTACCCGTACTCATTCAGCCAGGTGAGGGCTTACGGCGAGTTGTCATTTGAAGTGGTGACGACTAGTGGCGTCCGTCAAGGATGCCCATTATCCCCATTTCTATTCCACTTCATCATAGACGTACTAAAGGACTTAACCCTAACACACTTCAGCGACTCAGGGATTGACTTGCTACCACGGAATAATCTCGTCGACTTAGAATATGCGAACGATATAGTCCTTCCAGGTGAGGACGCTGACAAAATACAGAGTCTACTGAACACCTTGAGCAGCAATCTTCGTATGTTTGACATGCGATTCGCCCCTGTAAAATGTAAGATGATGTTACAGGATTGGACTACACCGACCCCTAGATTAGAATTAGGAAGTGCAGCGGTAGAGCACGTTGACCGCTTCACTTACTTGGGAAGTACCATCAGCCCCAACGGGTTGATCGCTGACGAAATCTCAGCACGAATACAGAGGGCTAGTTTCGCATATGCCAGTTTACTCCGTCTCTGGTGTAGATGTGATATCCAACTATCGATCAAAGGGCGTGTGTACTGCTCAGCAGTCACCTCCGTCCTCCTTTATGGCTGTGAGACTTGGCCATTGAGAGTGGAAGACATGAAAAGATTAGTTGTCTTTGACTATAGGTGTCTGCGTTCTATCTCCCACGTGAAGTGGCATAATAAGGTGAGCAATATTGAGGTTAGGCGTCGAGTGCTAGGTAAGGCAGGGAAATCAATCGATGAGACTGTGAAATTACATCGACTGAGATGGTTAGGACATGTGTTACGTATACCTAGTCATCGCCCTCCTCCACGGGCAATGTTAATTGATATAGGGTCAGGCTGGAAAAGAGCTAGCGGCGGTCAAACGAAAACGTGTCTTCACCAGTCAATGAAATCTACAACAGTTAGTCTAAGCCAGCCACGTAGGAAGGTGTAGACTTCCTGGTTGGGGTCCTTGGGACGGTAAAAACCAATGGTTGGAAAAAATTGGTGAGATGGCTCAAAATCGTTCTCAATGGCGCAGATGCATCTACTCCTTATGACTTATGATTCCCAATTAAACTGTTTTGTTCTCTGTTATTACTATACCTTTGTCTCACACCTCTGTTTACTGTCTATATTATGCATTTCTCCTAATTTCTTCTCATGATTTGTGTGCTATGTGGAGGGAGAGTTGCAACTAGAACTGCTGCGCATCCGCGCAAAGTTCTACATTGAAACCAGTCAGTCAGTCTTCATTTTTTTAAACATTTTCAGCCACAAAACATTATTAATTCAATTTGTTTCCATGGTTATCCCGTTCACATCCGTATTCATTAAAAAAAACACTTATTTAACATACACCACAACTATTTTCAAATCAATAATTATCAAAACAAAAAAAATAAAAATTGAACAAAAGAACTTACCAATCAGTTCAGCAAGAGCTGTAAGTTCATTCAGATCAGCATAATCTTCCGCACGAAATCTTACAATCTCAGGTGAAACTAATGTAACAAAACTTTTCAATAAAGGTGAATAAACAAAATGATTCATGTAGGCTGATTTGATTACATTGTCTAGATACCATTCAGCATAATGAGCTGTCATTGTTAACTGACCCTAGACACACATACACACACACGAAAGGAAAAACAATTAAATCTCATTCAATTGGAAATAGGATTAGTTACAATATAAAAAGATATACAAAGTAATCAACTCTTAAGTGTCTCCGGTGGATTACGTCACCTCCAGAATAGACGTGGTATCCGGCTGGCTATCGACCAAAGGGCGCGTGTACTGCTCAGCAGTCCGCTCCGTCCTCCTTTATGGCTGTGAGACCTGGCCACTGAAAGTGGAAGACATGAAAAGGCTAGCTGTCTTTGAGCTTAGATGTCTGCGTCCTATCTCCCATTTTAAGAGGTAAAATAGGGCGAGTAATATTGAAGTTAGGCGTTGGGTGCTAGATAAAGAGGGGAAATCAATAGACGAGGTTGTGAAGTTACATCGATTGAGATGGCTAGGACATTATTTAATTGAACTTTAGATTTTCTCGTCAATTGATTGGACTGAAGTGCTCAGCCTCAGGTTGACATGTCGGTTTCTTGTACAGATGCTTTGACGATGTCTGGGCATGTAATTAGAATTCAATTGGTATATGGTGACTAGCAGTGGAATCCAGCAGGCGCATTTCGTCCTATTTGGGACTCGTCATCTGGATGTACCTGCATCCCCCAGTGAATGATGATGTTCCCACCGAGGCTTGAATCCACCACCCATAGTTTCAAACGCCAAAGCGTCAATCTGAGACCGAGCACTTCAGTCCAATCAATCGACGGGAAAATCTAAAATTCAATTAAATAATTCATATGACCCGTTGCACAAGAGGTGGCTCTCATCGCCCAAGTGGTCTAGTGGATAACGCTTTGAAGTTTGAAACTACGGGCACTGGGTTAGAGCCTCGGAGGGAACATCATCACTCACTGAGAAATGCAGGTACATCCAGATGACGAGTCCCAAATGGGATGAAACCCGCATCCTGGATTCCACTGCTAGTCACCATACACCAATTGAATGGTTACGATATGTTATACGCATGTCTAGCCATAACCTTCCTCGACGGGAAATGTTAGCCGACATAGCATGGGTCAGGTTGGAAAAGAGACAGCCAGTGGTGGTCAAACCAAAACATGGCCTCGTCAGTCAATGAAATCCACAACAGTTAGTTTGAGCCACGTAGGAAGATGTAGACTTCCTGGAAGGGGTCCTCGGGACGGTAAACACCAATGGCTGTAGACAATTGGTGATATGCCTCAAAATCATCGTTGTCAGTGGCTGGCGCAGATGCATGCACTCCTTGTGACTTATAATTCCCAATAAAACTTCATTGTTCTTCGATATCACCGTTCTTTTTGCCTCATATCTCTGTTCACTGTCTCTATTGTGTTTCTTTTTACTTTCTTCTTCTCTGGCTTTGTGTGCTGAATGAAGTGTGGCGACTCGAACTGCTGCACATCTGTGCAAAGTTGTTTGTTGAAACCAGTAAGTCAGTCAGGTATAATATATTCAGTAATTAGGACGTTAGACGTTCTGAGTGTTAGGTAACCACATTATCAAGCATAAAAAGCCATCACCTTCTATACTCATCAATGCTTACATAGAATTCACTAAGAAAACAGTTAGAGTTATACTCAGAGGGAAATATATCAGTAATCGATGAAATTGAATAAAGCATGAAAAGCGCCTTTATCCACGCAGAACGTTTCTATTCACTGAATCCCTTGGTGACTGTTTCGTCAGCCTAGGCTGGGACTACTTGTCAGTAGGCACCAACCGCCAGGGTTCAAACCCAGGACCTTTCTGTTACAAGGCGAGCTCGTAGACCATTCAACCAGTGGAAACCGATCCAATAGCCAAGTCATGAATTTCAACTTCCACCAATTCGCGGTATATAGAAGGTCCAAAAAGTCAGTTAAGCAAAAATTGACTCACCTAGGACACTGGATGGTGGTTGCATAATGTATTTCGCAAATTGGCAGAAGTTGGAATTCATGGCCTAGCCATTGGATCGGATCCCAGTCTACGAGGTTGCCTTGTCACCAGAAGGCCGTGGGTTCAAACCTCGTTAAAGGGTGTGTGCTGTTGAAGAGTCCCGAAATGCGACGAAACAGTTGGCCAATACCTCTGGGTTTTTCAATGGTCCTCTAACTGATTTCAGCTCGTGATCTACTAGCTATTGTACATTTTGTATATTTAGAGTGGTTAGGTAGTGTCTCGCACCGATTACGTCATTCCAACTTCCGGCTTTAAATCTCACACTTTACATTATGTGGTTTTTTTTGTATAACATAGTTAAGCGTATCTGATTAATTTTATGAATTCTAGTGTAGAATATAAATACGATTGATTATACAGCTTTGTGGAAATGATTCATCAGAAAGAATGAAATAAAGTCGTAGAAAGTCGCATCAGCTCCAATGGACTGTGGATTGCTGACCAAAAAGCTCAGCACGGATATAAAACCGCCATATCATCCCCAAAATAGACGTGATAACAGGCTATCGATCAAGCTATGCGTGTATACTCCGCAGCGGTTCACTCTGTTCTCTTTAATGACTGTGAGTGAGACACGGCGATTAAAAGTGGAAGATATGAAAAGGCCAGTTGTCTTTGACCACAGATGTCTCCCTTCTATCTCCCGTATCAAGTAGTATGATATGGTGAGTGATATTGAAGTTAGGCATCGAGTATTAGGTTAGTTATGGAGGGTAGGGAAATCGATCAGGTTGTGAGGGTGAATCGATTGAGACTGACTAGCACACTTGTTGAGCAAGCTGAGCCATCGTCTTCCTCTACGGAAGATGTCAGCCGACATAGGATCAGGTTGAAAAAGAGTTAGTGTTGGTCAGAATAAAAAACTTGCCATCAGTCAATGAAATCCCCAAAACAGTTAGCTTAAGCCAGCCACGTCAGGAGGTAGGTGAAGACTGTTGTCTAGTTGGGGTCCTCAGGATATTAAGAGTTAATGAAGGCTGGAAACAATTGATGGTATGAGTCGAAATCTCTTTTTTTTTATCACACTTTTTTCTCTACCTTTCTGTGCTAGATGGAGTGTGGTAAATTCAACTGCTATTGTAAAAAATTCTATGTTGAGGCTCAGTTAGTTGGTTAGTTAGCTAGCCAGTCAGTCACAACTACATTTCAATCACGTTTACAAATTCATTCAATTGTAACATTGTGTCTACTTCTAACTGGAGTATGCTGTTTTTTTTTCTTCTCTTTGGAAGTTTTATTTGCCATACTGTAATATTAAAGTAAACAATAAGATTTGAAATGTATACTGACAGTAGCTAGCAGTTCAACATTTAACCACCCAGTGAATAAATCAATGATTAATTCATGCACGATTCATATATGAACAGTTTTCATTGCCTATTGAAACACAACAGTTATCAACAGCTGCCCACTTCGCTGGCTGGCTCCATACTGAAGATCAAATGGCCAACCGGCCAGCCAGAAAGAATTAGTAGCAAGAGACTCTGGCTGGCTGGCAACAAACCAACCAAGAACCGATTGCTCAACAAATATGTCTGTCTGGAGTCAACATAGAACTTGGCACCGAAGTGCAGCAGTTCGAGTTGCCACCTTCCAAATACCACACAAAGGTAGACAAGAAAATGAATGAAGAGAATCAACAGAGTTTTGACAAGTATAAGAGTGAAACAGAATGAGTAATCGTAGAAAGGAATACGAAAGATTACAGAGACTGGATACATCTGCGTAAGCCATTGACAACGATTTTGGGCCATGTCACCTATTGTCTCCAGCCATTGATTCTTAGAGTCCCGAAGGCCCCAGCCCGGAAGTCTGCATCTCCCTACCTGACTCAGTTTAACTGTCAAGGATTTCATGGATTGATGCCATGTTTTTTTTGGCTACCTCTTACTCTTTTCCAACCTGCACCTACATCAGCTAGTAATGCCCGTCGGGGGAGACGATGGCTAGGCATGCGCAGCACGTGACCTAACCATCTCAATCTACGTAACATTAAAGCCTCGTCGATTGATTTTCCCTCTTTGCCCAACACTCTACGCCTAACGTCAACATTACTTACCTTATTATACCACCTAACGTGAGAAAGAGATCGTAGACATCTATGATCAAAAACAGACAACCTTTACATGTCTTCAACTCCTATTGGCCATGTTTCAGAGCCATAGAGAAGGACGGAGCGAACTGATGAGCAGTACACACGTCCCTTGGTTGATAGCCGGATGTCACGCCTACACCGGAGATGGCGTAAGTTAGCGGAAGCAGCTCGAGCTATTTGGATCCATGCTGAGATTTCGTCGCCAATCAGTCTGTTGGTGCTGATACAACTTCCTAAATAGGTGAAGTGGTCAACATTTTCTATCAGTCCAGTCCTGTAGCAGCATCTTACATTTTACAGGGCGAAAAATATGTAGGACGAAATGGAGATGGATCGGGCATATGTTGAGGAGGCTGTCGAATGACATCGCGCTCAATGCAGGCCATCACTCGAGTGGAATCCCACTAGGAAGTGATGAGTGGGACTTCCGATTCTGATATGGAGGAGATCGTGAGAAAAGGAAACCAGAGATTATGGGCAAGCGTGAGCCCAGTTGAAAGGGAGAGTAGACAATAGAACAAAGTGGAGATGTGTTGTTGAAGCCCTAATTTCCACTCGGAACCCAAGGGAATAATAATAATAATTGAAACAATCGTATATGTCAGGAATTACTGAAATTGAACTCAATTTTCAATGTAGAACTTTTCAATGAATTGTAGTAGTAGGCCCGGCCGACAATTTCTACCTTGCCGTGGTGGTCGGGTCGGGCTGGAATACCGCAGTGACCCAACAAGCTAAACTGGCTGGGACTCATGTCCCTGCAGGTCCTACCATGTCAGGAAGGTTGTTTGGATAGCGGTTAGACTAAAACCAGTTACCATGGGGTGCATGGGCTCCAGAATCCAATCGGATCAAATGCCGTATGAACCCATATAGGTCACTGGCAACCATGGAAACGCAGCTCGTGACGCTGCTCCGCTGCCTTGCGGATTAGACTCCAAGTCAAAGGCTCGGGGGGGGGGGGATGGTCCCTTAAGAAAACCACCTGCTTCAGTCTGGGCGTCCGGGCAGTGTCTCAGCCCTCACACAACGTGTGGTGCATCTTTCTTCGTGCCATATTGTACCAAGTTTTTTTCTTCTGCGTTTTAATAATAGTAATAAGTAGTTCAATTTGCCACAACATTATAATACTTTGATTGGACATTTGGTGACAAACAATGTCATGAGTCTGATTGACTCATTGATTTCAACATAGAACACTGCACAGGTGTGCACCAGTTCGAGTTGAAAGTTTCCCTCCATGTAGCACACAAAGTAAGAGAAGATAGTTGAAGACAAATTCATCAAAAGGGAGATAATAAATAGAGGTGTGAGTGAGGGAAAAGAATAGTAATATGGGTGAAAAGCAGAGTTTTATTGAATATGACAAATCATTACAGAGTGGATGCATCTACACCAGCCATTGACAACGATTGTCTCCAGCCTTAATCTGTTCTTACTATCTTGAGGATTCCGACCGGACAAGCAGTCTTTACCTCCCTACATGGCTGGCTTAAGCTAATTGTTATGGGGATTTAATTGAGTGATGGCAGGTTAAGTCTGATCATCACTAACTCTTTTCCAACCTGATTCTATGTCGACTGACATCTTACTTAGAGGAAGACGATGGCTCAGCTTGCTCAACACGTGTCCTGACCATCTCAATCGATTCACCCTCACAACCTGATCGATATACTTACCCTCCATACCTAACCTAATACTCGACACCTAACTTCAATATTGCGCATCATATCCTACCAGTTGACACGGGAGATAGAACGGAGACATCTGTGGTCAAAGCCAACTGGCCTTTTCATATCTTCCACTTTCAATCGCCATGTCTGACTCACAGTCACAAAAGAGAACAGAGTTAACAGATACGGAGTACACGCATCGTGTGATCGATAGCCATCTGGATATCACACCTACTAAGTCGGAGATGGAACAATTTGGCAAGTGGTAAACGAGCCTTCTGTATCCATGTTGAGATTTCGTAAGCGATCAACCGGCTGGTAATGACTGATACAACGTCCAAATAAGTGAAGTGGTCAACACGCTCTACCACTTCACTCCCTCTGTATATTTAAGCTAGGAGTCGATGTAGCACTGTCCTCTAGCACCATTATCTTGAATTTGATAGCAGTGAGAAACCAAATGAAGCCTTCCTGATCATCTACCATAGCACTCATGCGCTTGAGCTAAAAGCGAAACAGTGGAATCAATTACTTATTGATTCATGTGTAGTTCACTTTATCAAGATACGACTATTGAGAACTATCATTCTATTTGTTTGGAGACTAGTTATTTATTAGTGTAATGTGTCTAGTCCTTGCCGTTTGGTGCAGACTGAATTCTATCAGTCAGATTTGCAATGTGACCACCATTCTAAGTGGTTTACCATTACGGTGCACTGCACTGTGAGCTTCTGATATTAGATGATTGGAGGAAATCGGCCACAGGAAGCCCTATGTGATCTAAGTTTCGTGCTAGTTGGCACTCACCAATCAGTCAGCAAGGAGTATCTGCAACTACCTTGAAGGAACAACTCATGTCCCTCCTGAGATTTGAACCCGCGTCACCCAGTGAGAGCTGCAACCAGAGTCGTTACCACTGAGTTATTCGGGGTCAGAAAACAAATCTTTTGGTTACAGGATTTCATCATGAGCTGAAATCAGTTAGAGAATCACCGGAAAACCTGCGGGGAGTACTGGACAGCTGTTTCATCCTAGTTTGGGACTCTTCATCAGTACGCACCCACCGGGGTTCGAACCCAGGACCTTCTGGTTACAAAGCGAGCTCGTATACCATTAAGCCACTGGGACCCGATCCAATGGCTAGGCCATGAATTCTAACTTCTACCAGTTCACGATATAGCGCAATCCTTAGCCAATGTCTTCGGCGAGTATGTCTTTATCAGGTGAATAATTCTAGATATTACAAATACTACTCAAATTCTAAACATGAAATGTAATGGTTTATAAAATGCACAATTAATATTACATTAAGAAAGTGATACTATGAGGAAAAAGTAGGTTCACATATTACAACATGCATAACTTACTCGAAAAGCATCTACAGGTTGGGTATGTTGTGTGAAAACTGTAGAAAATATGCCAATCACATCAATGCATACATGATTTTCTAAATCCAATAAAGCATTCATCAATGCTCGTACACGTCGAAGTAATTCTGATGGCTTGGCGATAAGTGATTCACTTGTATTATTATCATGAGACCTGCACGTGTAAAGACAAATGTACACACACACACTTTAAGATAAACATGAACATCTAAATAAGAATAAATAAAATACAGTAGAATTTAATAATCACTTAGAGATACGATTCATTTGGCTTTTAGTCAGTGGGTTTCAGGTTACAGTTTCCGTACTGTCTACGTCAGCGCCTGAGCAGTTGTATGGTATCATTAATCATTGGTTAGCTGAATTCAAACAGGTGAGGGAATATATTTACTATTATTGTTGTTCCCTTTGGGTTCCGAGTGGAGCATAGGGAATCAACAGCACGTCGTCACTGCGTCCTATTCCCTGAAGTCCTCTCCCTCCCCTTCCCTTAGCTGGGCCCATGATTGCCCACAGTCTCTGATCTCCTTCTCGCACGATATCCTCCACATCAGACTTGGAAGCCCCACTCGTCGTTTTCCATTCGGGTTCTACTCGAGCTACGGCGATATCATTCGACGGTCGCCAACGTGTGTTCAATCCAGCTCCACTTTCTTCGGCATAGTTTTTTGAGCAATAGGTTCTTGGTCGGTTTGTTGCCAGAGATTCTTGTTGCTAATTCTTTTTGGTCGGTTATCTGACCTCCATCATGGAACCAGCGAAGAAGGCAACTGTTGATAAAAGTCTGCCATCCACTGGAAATGATTTTGGTGACGAGTTTCTGACACATAGAGAACTGGCTTACTCAACGTTACTGTTAAAAATCCAAATTTAGTTCTTTGTGTTAAATTAGTGAAGAAGATTTCCAAACTGGTTTCTGGTTGATGAAGGCATGTTTCGCCTTTCCGATTCTGCCCCGCTTTGGCATCTTCATCTGTGCTGTTGCCTGTGGTTGAAACGATTCTTCCTAGATAAGTGAAGGAAATAACCTCTGTCAAATCTCCCTCATCGATAGTGACTGGTGCTGGTTATTGTGGCTGTTGTTGGTTGGTTATCTTCATCACCTCCGTCTTCTCTATGTTCACTTGCAGTCCTATCTTCGCTGCCAAGCAGCTTCGTCTACCAGTTTGTTGGTTTTCGCCTGTAAGTCTTCGAGTTTGTGTGACATTAAACATAAATCATCCACGCAATCATCATCTTCTAGAGTCTTCTTATCGGTCCAGAGTATTTTTGTCTTCTCTCTCCCCATGCACAGTCTTCCGCGTAATCCAGTCCACCACAATTAAAAATATTGTCAGTGATAATAGGTAGGCAGCCTTGTCTTACTCCTGCATGCACTTCGAACGCCTCACTAAGTTTTCCATTGTGGATCATCTGACACGTGGCATTGTCATATAACCAGCTGTTGAAAGAGTTTGATAAAGACTTTGGCACTGCACACCGTACTGTTGAAGTAGTTTCCAAGTCGCTTCTGTCCAACGCTGTCTGTCGAAGGCCTCTCGAAGTCGATGAAATTGAGTCAGGGGTTTGACTCCCAATCTATGCTTTGTTCTGTGATGATGCGTAGAGTTGCCGTTTTGATCAGCACATGATTTGTCTTTCTTGAATCCAGCTTGTTCCGGTGGGTGGCAGAGTTCTGCATCCAGTGCGTCTTTTATTCTCTCCAGGATGACGCAACTTAGTATTTTGCTTGGCGCGGAAAAAAGCATTATTCCACGGCAGTTCTTGCAGAGGCCTAATGTTTTAGTATTTACTAATATTGACTAATATCCGTTTCCAAAAGAAACTGGTGAAACTGCATCACTGAAACTGTGTAAATTGTGAATTAATTTACGAAGTGTGAATTTGTTTTATGGTGTTATCAGTTCGTCCAAGTAGTTAGCCAGGAATCAGGTGGTTTGAACTGGCTTGGCTCTCTAAGCTGAGTGGAACTGGGTAAACCGCTGATGAGCTCGGTCAAAAACGGGTGAAACAGCCATTTTATCTGGCTGGGGACAGTAAGCACTACTGGTTTATGTGAGTGGTATTATATAATTATTATTTTATTATTATTATTGCCTTGGGTTCCGAGTGGAACATACGGCTTCAACAACATATCTCCACTTCGATCTGTTTTCTGACGTCCTCTTCAGCTGAGTCCTGGATTGATAAAACTCTTTCATCTCTTCCTCGCACAATCTCCTCCATGTCACCCTCGCACTGACAACCCACTCGTCGCTTCCCATTTGGATTCCACTCGAGTAATAGCCTGCATTGCGTGCGGTGTCATTAGACAGCCTCCTCAATGTATGTCCGATCCACCTTCACTTTCTCCTACATATTTGTTGAGCAATCGGCTCTTGCTTGTTGGCTTGTTCCCATAGTTTCTTGTTGCTTACTTTTTCTGGCCATTTGATCTTCAGTATAAAGCCGGTGAAGGCAGCTGTTGACAAAAGTCTACAACATGCTGTTGGAAATGCTTTTCGTGACACGCTGGCCAAGTTTCTGACCCGTATAGAAGAACCAACTTCGCCTAGTTAACTAGCTCGCTAGTTTTCTAGCCGGTCCCAAGCCCGGGGAAAGAAAGAGGGTTGTGCGTGATGCTAGCAGTTCCACACCATTAAATCTTTTAAACCGCTAGAGAAACTTCGACACAGAAAATATATTAAAAATGTGAGTGGTATACAAGTACTCGTATCAATCAACTAGTAGCAAATCATTTTAAGTGATAGCTGATTGTCTACACTTTGGTAGGTGGAACAAAATTGGAATGTTAGAAATCAATTACGCAGAATAGACTTTTTATTTATCAGTCTATGAGGCACGTTCCTTGCATGAGAGCTGATGACGTTGCTCAGTTGCTTAAGCTAAAATACGTGGGGTGAGATTCGAATCTAGGAAGTACTGGCTGATAGTTGAGCTTTAGGTAAGGAGGGGAAATCAATCGACGAGACTGTGAAATTACATCGACTGAGATGGTTGGGACATGTGCTACGTATGCCTAGTCATCGCCTCCCTCGACGGGTAATGTTAGCTGATATAGGGTCAGACTGGAAAAGAGCTAGCGGCGGTCAAACGAAAACATGGCACCAGTCAATGAAATCCACAACAGTTAGTCTAATCCACGTAGGAAGGCGTAGACTTCATGACTGGTTTGGGTCCTCGGGACGGTAAAAACCAATGGTTGGAAACAATTGGTGACATGGCTCAAAATCGTTCTCAATGGCGCAGATGCATCCACTCCTTGTGACTTATGATTTCCAATGAAACTGTTTTGTTCTCCGTTATTACTATTCCTTTGTCTCGCATCTCTGTTTACTGTCTCTAATATGCATTTCTGCTACTTTCTTCTCTTGCTTTGTGTGCTTCATGGAGTGTGGCGACTTGAACTGCCGCACATTGGTGCAAGGTTCTATGTCGAAAACCGACCGACAGATTAATTATTCTCTTCTACACCTTTTAATCTGATTTATAGTCGTCACATATTCCCCCCTCCCACCCTCCAAATGACTTTCGATGTCCTACTGTAGTGGAATACAATAATGACCCAATTAGTATGATGCTAATTAGTATTTCTTAAAATTATTTTTGATTTACCACTAGTTGAGCACATTAGACCGAAATGTTCAACCTCTGTCGACATGTCAGCTGATGGTACGGACACTTCAGAGATTTACCACTTGAAACAATCAGTGCAGGGTTCGAGTCTCAGTAGAAACACTATCACTTGACTCAGGATGCAGGTACATTGAGCTGACTAGTTCAAAATAGAACAAAACGCGAATACTGAACTCCATTACAGGCCACCAACATCCAACCAAGTAGCACGATGTTGTTAGGTACCCAGTGCTGAGAAATAACAATGGAATCATACATCGAAATCCACATAGTATTTCATTATATCCATGAAACAGCCCAAATTCTGAGGCTTCCTTGATTCTACACTGATCTTTCTGACTATATTAATCAACCGTTTACTTACTCGTATTTACTTACTCGTCTTTTTTCCTAACCCCATGTTGCCATCTAAAACAAATTTAGTCAAACAAGACATTTTTAACAATAAGCATATAAATATACTGGTATGTCAATGGCTCAGCCGTACAATACTCCTCACAAACCACGTGCATGGTCCGGAGTTCCAGCCTCGGTCGACAAACGCCTAAACCTCGCTTAGCCGGTTGTAAGCCTAATGAAGAGGGAAGGTTGGGGGACGTGAGGCTAGCAACTTCACTCCTCGTAAAAGACAAGCTCAAGCTTGAAGACCTATTTCTATCCCACTGTGAACACAAAGGGTCTTGGGTTCAAGTCACGGTCCGGGTAGTTGAGTAGCATAATACCTCAGTTATTACACAATAAGTGCGGAACTGTCTCGGAAAACTGTCTGTCTGTCCGGATTCAACGTAGAACTTGGCACCGAAGTGCAGCAGTTCGAGTTGCCACATTCCAAATAGCACACAAAGGTAGACAAGAAGATGAGTGAAGAGAATCAATAGAGATGTGATAAGTATAAGAGTGAAACAGAATGAGTAATGGTAGAAAGGAATATGAAAGATTACAGAGACTGAATACATCTGCGCCACTGACAACGATTTTGAGCCATGTCACCTATTGTCTGTCTCCAGCCATTGATTCTTAGAGTCCCGAGGGCCCCAACCCGGAAGTCTGCATCTCCCTACCTGACTCAGTTTAACTGTCAAGGATTTCATGGATTGATTGATGCCATGTTTTTGTTTGGCCACCTCTTACTCTTTTCCAACCTGCACCTATATCAGCTAGTAATGCCCGTCGGGGTGGGAGAGGCGATGGCTAGGCATGCGCAGCACGTGACCTAGCCATCTCAATCTATGTAACTTTATAGCCTCTTCGATTGATTTTCCCTCTTTACCCAACAATCTACGCCTAACGTCAAAATTATTTACGTTATTATACCACCTAACGTGACAAAGAGATCGTAAACATCTATGATCAAAAACAGTCAACCTTTTCATGTCTTCAACTCGTATTGGCCATGTTTCAGAGCCATAGAGAAGGACGGAGAGAACTGCTGAGCAGTACACACGTCCCTTGGTTGATAGCCGGATATCACACCTACGCCAGAGACGGTGTAAGTTAGCGAAAGCAGCTCAAGCTTTTTGGATTCGTGCTGAGATTTCGTCACCAATCAATCCGTTGGTGCTGATACAACTTCCCAAATAGGTGAAGTGGTCAACATATTCCATTACTTCACTCCCTATCACTAAGCTAGGAGTTGATGTAGTCCAGTCCTGTAGCAGCATCTTACATTTTACAGGGGCGATTCGCATGCCAAACATACGAAGATTGCTGCTCAAGGTGTTCAGAAGACTCTACATTTTGTGAGCAATTGTCATTTTGTCATCAATTCTCCTACGAATGAATATGGTTCGCCAACAAGTGAAGGGTGGCATACCTAACCCCACGAAATTTTAGCAATCTCAAAATTTGATGGATTCATATTATAAAACAAATAGATTATGCAAATACAAAACAACTTACGTGAATGTTGTATAACTAGAAAGTAGGTCAATTAGCCTTAATTGTATCTCATTTTGAAGGATTTCACGTGGATTTATCACCTGATCGAATACAATCAACTCTCTATGATGATTAACAGAACTGCACAGTTGACTTAGACCAAATAACGTTTTATCATTGATAGTCTGTTCTTCACGATTAATACGAAAACTTTCCACTCCTGGAATTAAACGTGAATCAATAGGTACACTGTTTCCAGTTAATTTACTATTACTAGTGACATTTACACCGGGATTCGATCCAGGGATAGGTCCATTCATCAAACGTCTTCCTTTTCTTGGATCTGTCAAACCACCACCCCCACCACCGGCATGAATATTTCCATTGATATTTTGTTTATTATTGCCACCTTTTTTATTCTTTTTCATTGGTTTCTCATCTGTTAACCATGGTACAGAATTCTGTGGTGCCAATTGATCCGCCAAATTACCAAATTCATCAATACGATTAAACAAGTACAAACAGATATTATCAGCAATCTCTTGACAGAAATGTCGGCATATATTCACGGCATTACGACCAATATATGAACGTTCTTCTGGACAGAGATCATGACAAGCTTGTATAGCTTGTGAACATATACTTGGAAAGACAATTGTAAAACGTAATTGTGCAGGGCATATACGACAATTAGCAAAGAGCTCTGTAAATTTACTTGGATAAAATATAAATATTGACATATCCGAGACTAAACGAAGCAGTTCATCCAGATAGTCAATAAATTTTGTATGTAATATTGTAGAATTCATATGTTCAACAAGTCGACGATAATCGGATAGATTCACAGCGGATGCTTTACACGATAAACTTGCTTGTACACGTAACCAGTCCAATCGAATACCAGAGAAATCGAATAGTGCGGATTGCATAGGCGTTAAATTTGTTTCATGTACAATTGGATTGTCAGCCAGTTCACAGAGTTGTTTTGAAATCGATGTAAAGATAATCGCCTCTTCATTGTTTATATGCGTTAGAATATCTTGAATATATTCATTCAATCCGGGACCATCATAACAACTTAGCAATTGAAGATAAAAACGTTGTATCACTGGACTATAACGTATCACCAGTGAGCGTAATTCATCCATTCTAAATAACAGTTCTGGTAGAAATGGATCACACAGTTCATCTCCTGAAAATGGTCCAGGTCGAGCAGGTGCAGATGTGCCTTTTTTAACAATTGGATTAGCAGAATGTCTTAACAACCAGTGAACTTCATCCGAGGCATAAGATAAACCCCAAAATACTAGAAATGCCTTGGGACCTAATAATCCAGGTTCATCAGATAAAATCAAGTGGAGTTGACGTAACGATAGGCGTAGATAGGCGCGTCTATCAGCATGCATTTTTGCTGTCTGTGAACAAGCGATGGAATAGGTCTCTTTAATTTCACTAATTCTTTTCACACCCACTTTATTCACCCAAACAGATTCAAGAAATGATTGTAACAGGGAATGTATGTGGACAACTTCTTCACGGAATAATACAACAATATATGAATGACGTAAAGCGACTTTCAACCGATTGAATGACTCTTCATCGGTTAATTCAGGATAAATTAACAAATAGCCAAAAACTATCCATCTTTCCATTACTTCATAGGATATTAACTCACAACCTAATTGTTCACCAAGAACAGTATGTGTTATTTTATTTGGTTCGTGTAAAATACTTAAAAAGTGACCATCATTCCAATTTTGAGCTCGAACTGTTCTTCTGTTATAAAAATCATTCAATGATCGTAGAGCTCTGGACAATGTTCGACAGTGTGGATTTACTTCTTTATGCAGGCGGTTCAGCATACCTTCAGGTGTTTCAACGAACATCTCTGCCATACGTGGATAATTCGGTTCTTGTTTACCATGCAGTTGATCATATAAAAAGTTAAATAGGATTAATATAGCCTTAGTGTCTGCAATACGTGTAATAAGAAACATCATAGCGAAATAATTACTGACAAGCTCTAAATACAATCGTGTCACGTCGAAATTCACAGTAATATCAAGAGTTATCTGTGATGAACCTAAGCATACCATAAGATCGTTGAAATGATCTCTTACATCGAGAACATCAACAAAATTAAAGTAGTATATTGACAAGGTAGCAAATATTTCTTTTTGACGACTACAGAATGGTTGTATATTCGATTGACTTGATTTAATATCGATTGATGGAAATTTTTTCAATAGAACTTTCCATGCTGAATCAAACGTTTTATCACCACCGGGTAGGACAGTAGGACGATATTCTGGTGAAGTGAGCATTTGTTTCATATGATGGATACGCGTCAGTACTCCAAGCTGACGATCATTTAAGATAAATAAGCGTTCTGCTAACTTTTGATGGATTAACGACATTCTGCCTGCTAGAAAATCCCTGTGAAAATAAAAGAGTAATGATCATTAGTCAACACACAAGAAATTCCCTACAAACATTTAGAAAATATGCAAAAGAGACTGAATTGGTAAGCATCAATAATAATCGGCTTTATTCCGAAATAGTACTTATGATACAGCGTGGAATTCTTAGCATTTAGTACAATATTATCTGTCTGTTTTCAACATAGAACTTTGCACCGATGTGCAGTAGTTTAAGTCGCCACACTCCCTCCTTGTAGCACACAACCGACGACAATGGTTGGGGTTGCGCTAAATCACGAATGGGTAGAAGTTAGAATTCCTGAGCCATTGAATCAGGTCCCAGTGGCTGAATGGTATACGACCTTGCCTTGTAACCGGAAGGTCCTGGGTTCGAACCCTGGTGGTGGGTGCGTACTGCCGATGATTCCCAAACTAGGATGAAACAGCAGCTGTCCAGTACTCCCTGGTTTTCAATGGTTCTCTAACTGATATCAATCCGTGATCAACTCGTAAAAACAGAACAAACCCTTACAAACCAAAATTTAGAAAAAAAGAGAAGAAACGCAAAATAGAGACAGTAGACAGGGGTATGAGACAAAAACAATAGTAATAACGAAGAACAATATAGTATTATTGGAAATTATAAGTCAAAAGGAATGGATGCATCTGCGTCATCACTGAGAACGATTTTGAACCATATCACAAATTGTCAACAGCCATTGTTTTTTACCGTCCCGGGGACCCCAACCACTCAGGAAGTCTACACTTTCCTACGTGGCTCAAACTAAGTGTTGTGGATTTCATTGATTGATGAAGCCATGTTTCGGTTTGACCACCACTGGCTCTTTTCCAGTCTGACCCTTTGTCAGCCAACTGCTCGTCGAGGAAGGTGATGGCTAGGCATGCGTAACACATGTCCTAACCATCTCAGTCGGTGTAGCTTCACAGCCTGGTCGATTGATTTCCCCTCTTTATCAAGCACTCGACCGACGCCTCACCTCAATATCGCTCACCCCATTATACCATTTCACACGGGAGATATAACGCAAGCACTTCTGATCAAAGACAGTAATTCGGGCTTTTCATGTTTTCCCCTCTCAATGACCAGAAGGACGGAGCGGACTGCTGAGCAGTTCATAACGATTGGCGACGGGGTTTCGAATCCATTGCAGTTCAATACAGTCAAATAAAACCCAGATTATCCAGTGTACATCCAGCTTGCCTTCCAAATGACAATTTCATTTGAACAAATGCAACTTCTTCAGATTGAATGAGACGTAACTTTCCGGTCGACCTCGTTCCAAGGAACATGCTACATCACCAATCGTCATGATTTGAACTTGCTTGGTATTGACTGGATCGAAAAGATGAAACTCTGGGATGTCCCACTGAACTCAGTTTGTTCCAATGTACAGTGCTCAGATAGTCCTACCAACATGTTGATGCATCCGAACTCGACCGCAAAGTTCATCAGTCATCTTCGCACCAAACACGCTGACGTTTTTCAAGAGTCTTTGGGTTGCTGTACCGTACAAAAAGCCAGACTATACCTCAAACCTGATGCCAAACCAGTTTTTAGACCAAAACGCCCAGTACCGTATGCCGCATTATCGTCCCTTGATGCAGAGCTGGATCGTTTAGAAAAGTTGAACGTAATCAAGCCAGTCGATTACTCATCCTGGGCAGCCCCCATAGTGGTTGTCAAGAAAGCAAACGGTACCATCAGACTTTGTGCTGATTTCTCAACAGGACTCAATAATGCCCTTGAAGATCAACCGTATCCACTACCAGTACCGCAAGATTTATTTGTCAAACTGAATGGCAGTAAATACTTCAGTAAACTTGATCTAGCTGAGGCATACCTACAGATCGAGTTCGAAGATGATTCTAAAGAGCTTCTGACAATCAACACTCACAAAGGACTGTATCAGTTTCAGCGACTTCCATATGGTGTTAAACCTGCTCCGGCTATATTCCAACAGATAATGGATGCAATATTAGGTGGTGTATCGGGAGTGGCCGTTTACCTCGATGATATCATGGTCACAGGAGAAACTCAATTCGAACTCTTCATTCGGTTAGATAAAGTCCTGACAATACTCAGTGATTCCGGTTTCCATTTACGTCCGGATAAGCGCAATTTTTTCATGACTTCAGTGAGGTACCTGGGATTCATTTTTGACAAAGATGGTCGCAAACCCGACCACTCCAGTGTGTCAGCAATTCAACAGATGCCTGCCCCTCATAATCTCAGTACGTCGCAGTCCTTCCTGGGGATGATCAGTTACTATAGTGCGTTCCTGCCAGATTTACATCGTCTCAGGGCCCCAATGAATCAGTTGCTCATGAAGAATGCTAAATGGAACTGGTCAGAAGAATGCCAACAAGCTTTCATCAAGGTCAAGAAATTACTCCAGTCTGACCTGCTGTTAACACATTACAATCCAAAGCTGGATATAACATTAGCTGCAGATGCGTCCAACTATGGTATTGGCGCTGTCATTTCACATGTGTTTCCAGACGGTGTTGAAAAGCCAATAGCATATGCATCGCGAACCTTGACAAAGGTAGAGCAGAATTACAGTCAGGTCGAAAAGGAAGGATTAGCGCTCGTGTTTGGGATTCAAAAGTTCCACAAAATGCTGCTTGGCCGAAAGTTCACACTTTTTACTGATCACAAACCACTATTATCGATTTTGGCTCCAAGAAAGGTATTCCAGTCTATACAGCCAATCGACTCCAACGATGGGCGACTATGCTACTAGGATACGACTTTCAGATCAAGTACAAATCTACAAAAGATTTCGGGAATGCATATGTCCTCTCGCGTTTACTCAGCTATAACAAGCCTGCAAAGGAGGACGCTGTGATCACCGGCGTTTCTGTCGATGAAGACGTGTGCCACGTATTGATGACGGCAATAAACACTTCACCTGTCTCAGCCGACATTGTTCAACGAGAGACGCAGCGTGACCCGACATTACAGTCAGTTCAACAGTATCTGCGTTGTGGCTGGCCCTCGCGTATTGATTGTCCAGATTTAAAACAGTTCTATCAACGACGACATTCGTTATCCCTGGTCAATGACTGCATTATGTTTGGCGAATGTGTGGTCGTGCCTCGAAGTCTCCAACAAAAAGTCATGAGTCAACTACATTTTGCGCATCCAGGTATTGGCCGTATGAAATCGTTGGCACGCTGTTACGTCTACTGGCCAAATATCGATCGGGAATTAGGAGTGATGGTTCGCTCATGTTCTCGCTGTGCTCAGGCTTTGAAATGTCTATCAAGACAGACCTACAGCCGTGGCCCAATCCAGGAAAATCGTGGTCAAGAATCCACATAGATTTTGCCGACCCAATCAATGGCAAACAGTTTCTCGTGGTAATCGACGCGTATTCCAAGTGGCCGGAGATTTTCGTTCTGCAAAATACCACAGTGACGGTAACATTAAATAAGTTGGTTCAGCTTTTCAGAAGATTTGGTGTTCCAGAGATCATCGTTTCCGATAACGGACCTCAATTTACAGCTGAACAATTCAAACAGTTTTGTGAGCGGCTAGGTGTTCATCATATTCGCAGCCCGCCTTACCATCCTCAGTCAAATGGACAGGCAGAGCGTTTTGTTGATACACTCAAGCGCGCACTTCAGAAGTCAAACGGGGAGGGATCGATAGAGGATGTATTGCACAATTTCCTCTTCATTTATCGAACCACAACCAACCCATCATGCCCAAATCAAATATCTCCCGCAGAAGTTATGGTTGGAAGAAGATTACGTACTACTTTGGATACAATTATCCCGATCCCATCAAGACGGAACAAATGTGGTCGAAATAGTGAATTTTGATTCAATAGACGTCATGGCACCAAGCAAAGAAGTTTCATGGTTGGTCAGTCAGTACTGGTTCGTGATTACATACGGAGAGATCGCCCATGGGTTTCTGGAGTGATCGTTGGAAGAGAAGGCCAAGTCATTTTACAAGGTCAAGGTTGGAGACCTTATTTGGGTCAGGCATGCCAATCAAATAAGAAATAGACTAGTTGGTAAACAGTTGAACGATTCCAAGTCCGCCGACGTACAATTTGAGCTATTGATAGATACGACGGATCCGAAAACGTCACATGGCCAAAATAGTTGAAACAAAGGCAAAGTGTCTCAGCAGCCAAGGAGATCACAACGACAACCAAGACCGCCAAAGTACCTACAAGTGATTCCGCGATACAAAAGCTACCGGTAGCCCTATCTTAAAAGGGGAGGTGTTAGGAAGAGGCAAAACACATGCAATTATCAGGTCATTATCATGTCTCAGTCAAGTTATTATCGCGTTATTAACAAGTCGTTGACATGCAATTGTTCCTACTTCTGATTGGACGCTTGCACAATTCCAACTCTGGACCGGATTGGTTGATGATTGCTGCTGGATTCAAACATAGAACTTGGCACCGAAGTGCAGCACTTCGAGTTGCCACGTTCCAAATAGCACACAAAGGTAGACAGGAAAATGGGAGGAGAGAATCAATAGAGTTTTGACAAGTATAAGAGGGAAACAGAATGAGTAATGGTAGAAAGGAATATGAAACATTACAGAGACTGAATGCATCTACGGAAGCCATTGACAACGATTTTGAGCCATGTCACCTATTGTCCGTCTCCAGCCTTCATTGATTGATTCTTAGAGTCCCGAGGGCGGGCCCCAACCCGGAAGTCTGCATCTCCCTACCTGACTCAGTTTAACTGTCAGGGATTTGATGGATTGACGCCATGTTTTTGTTTGGCCACCACTTACTCTTTTCCAACCTGCACCTATATCAGCTAGTAATGCCCGTCGGGGTGGGGGAGGCGATGGTTAGGCATACGCAGCACGTGTCCTAGTCATCTCAATCTATGTAATTTTATAGCCTCTTCGAGTGATTTTCCCTCTTTGCCCAACACTCTACGCCTAACGTCAACATTACTTACCTTATTATGCCACCTAACGCGAGAAAGAGATCGTAAACATCTGTGGTCAAAAACTGACAATCTCTTCATGTCTTCCACTCTCAATGGCCATGTTTCAGAGCCATAGAGAAGGACGGAGCGAACTGCTGAGCAGTACACACGTCCCTTGGTTGATAGCCGAATGTCACGCCTACGCCAGAGACGGTGTAAGTTGGATTGGTTGATTTCCAGTCTACCTTATTTTCTGTCACTTTTGTCATAATAAATGAACCTGGTTTTACCGCTGATTCTCGCGTGTTCTGCTCTACCAGTTAAGTGGGCACTGGTTAGTAGTTAAGCTGTGACTTCGTGACAAAAGATCTAGCATTATAACGCGATAATAACTTGACTGAGGCATGATAATGACCTGATAATTGCATGTGTTTTGCCTCTATCTAACATTAGCAGTGAAAAAATAAGTTCAAAAATGTACAAAAAGTGCAAAGTAATCATAATAATGTTAATAGCTATAATTTTAAGTTGAAATCGAAAGTGTCACCAAATATTACAAACAGGAGAGGATAAATGGACCAATTGTTTTGTGAATGACATGTGAAGTTGTAATTTTCACGTTTAACACTTTATCTATCACATAGAATGCAGACCAAGTAGGATATCTCTGAGTTTTTGTACGAGTGAGCATGTAATCGTTTATAATGACTTCTAGTCCTGTTTGACGAGATTCAATGGGAGACTTGAGAGTAGAGATCGTGTTGAGAGTCAGACAATATGAATTTAGACCATTTCTCACATGAGTTCAAGTGTCTGTCGACTAGAGCTCAGCAGTAAAGAGCTGACTTATTAGTGGCATACCAATTCCCCTACTGACCAACTTTATTACCCTTTGCAGTATGACATGATCCTTTTTGTCTAGCCCAGGAAAGACTAAGAGGGAGCAGTAAAAAACAGTAGGTAAGATGCAAGAGTTAACAAATTGTAGAAGTGGGGTTGAGTGATACCAATCTGATTGTCTTAACTTCTTAATGTAGTAGTTTAAACGGAACATTTTCTCAGAAACTACAAGATGTGAGATGTCTGAGAAAGGTCAAAGGAAAGAACTATTCAAAGGCATCTAATGCTTGACGTAGTTTCTATTTCAGTGCCCTCTGTGCTACAAGTATCTAGTGAACGGACCAGCTGTTGTAGATCAAGTTTATGTCTAAAAGTGAAGTTAACTATTTGACATTTGGGAGAATTTAACATAAGAACATTTAGCTTGGACCACCGGATTATGTACAACAAAATGCTACTCAGTTTGGAACAGTCACCGCAGGAAGTAACTGGCAGTGCGACAGTCAGATCACCAGTGTATTTGAGGGAATCGATTTCTTCTGGAAGAGGTAAGTCATTTAAGAAGTTGGAAAAAAGAAAGAGAGAGCAGCACCTTAAGGGACTCCAGATTCAGTAAGCGAGCAAGTACCGTATACTGTATTCTGGTAAACAAATAAAAGTGCAACCAGTTAACAGCCAAGGACTCGGTTTGCTTCAGGAAAAGCTTATTTAATAAGAGGCATCTGAGTACACGGTTAAAAACTGACGTGTAGTGAAGGAAGATACATCGGACATTTTCAGCTCGTCTGTCTAGGGAGGAAACACTATGTAACAGCAGCAGAACCTAAAGTACTTCTACCCTGTATGTATGCAAACTGTTTAGAGTTATTAAAATCTCTCAATGAAGGAATAATGAAAGAAAAAGCCATGGAAGAGATACTTGGAGAGATTTTGTGTACGCAATTTGCTGAATTCAGAGCTACAGAACAACTGCTACTCTATGCAACTCTGATCAACATTTAACACTTCATATCACTGAAGCATATTACGAGATCAAAAGAGAACACATACAGTGGGTAGATTCGTATGAAAGTTGACACAATCCACAACAGTAAAAAGTGAAATCCAACAACATAAAGAATACACGTGTAAGTAAGGATAATGAATGGGATATGCAATTACCACTTATGACCAATAAGGTTCATATGCAGTCCAGATGAATCTCACTTCTGTTTTTTGAAGGGGAGAAGGGGCAAATCCTTCATTTTACCTAAAACTACTCCTTACTCGTACACTACTGAAGTAGTAGTTCTGACAAAATGGATGATTGTGAAAAGACAGTAGACTGAGCATATGCCATACTTTTAATGGTCACAGAGTGGGAAAAAGTTTTAACAGCTCTTATGGGTGATCAGGAAAAAAGTTACTGTCAGGTAACGGTAGGTATGCCAGCAATTAAAGGTCTTAAAGACTCATTCGGTTTTAAAACCTCTCTAGATTTATTGGCTTTGTAGTCGTGTGGCAATTATGCCTATAGAGTTGGGTTTTTTACGTTAATCTACTTGTTTATCTAGATACATTCCTTAAAATTATTAGGATAATTAAAATTATCAGTGACCTATATGGCAGACAATGCCGGAAGTTTAAGGTGATCAGCAGTAGTTGGCTGTCAGGACAAATTTGTGGGAAGGCGAATGATTTCAACGAAGATTTCAACCATTACAACGACATTGGTAATATCCTGAAATAATGTCAAAATATTTAGTCAAGTTAATATGAAACATACACAGACAGCTTGTAATAATTGTGATGGGGAATTCCTGAATAACTGGTGACTGTAGTTCTTGTAATAGCTAAACGCGCATTACAACCTAAGTACCAGTAGATATTTTAGGCTCCATTCGGTGTACACATGGAAAATGACTGCAGTGGATGGTTATGTACGACGAAAACTCAGGAATCTATTTTAGCGAGTGTCTATCCCCATACTGTTCTAATTTTGCGCATGTATAGTAATAATAATAATAACAGTAATATTAGGATACTAACAAAAATAGGAATACACCGACTTTCTGAAGATTTATATAGCAGTATACATCACAATGATATCGATAACTTTCACTTTGTTAGTCAATCTGCTATAACCGCACTATGACATCCCAGTGTTACTAAATTACTTAAAATCCAAAAGTGAGAATATTCTCAGAGAAAGCTTATTACTGAGCCACTCAAGTGACGAAAGGCTGTTTTGATATTTATTTATTTTATTTTATTTTTTATTTTGGTTACAGCTTGATGCCACACCGTATTATCAGTACAAGTATGGCATTTTCAGCATGGATATCGGTAGCCCAAATTCAGGCCGACCATAGATATCGGGTGTGCGCCGGCAGGGGATCGAACCTCGGACCATGTGCATGGTCGGCGAGAGTCCTAACCACTGTGCCACCGACGCACATTGTTTACGGCATTACTGCGGCAAATGATTCTAAATTCACTTAAGTTCTTACAACTATAAGAAATCTCCAGAAGAAAAGTACGTCTCATTTGTTAAAGACCTAGCCCAATCTGACATAGTGTGAACAAACAGGCCAAATAAAAGATATTGCCAATAGTAGAATAATGGGCAAATATTGGTTACGTGACAAAAACTTTAGCCATTTTACCAACTATTTAACAATATTTAAACATTAATAAACCAAAATCTTCCCATATTCGCCATACTTCAAACACTATTCCCTAATTTTGCATAATATTGAATTGAATATTTTAATATAACAAGTAACATAAAGTTGATGCTTACAGGAATTTCTAAGGTGAGAGTTGTTGTGAGAACACTCTACGCCTAACAAATCTATACAGAACTATGTATAGCAGTAAGTAAGTTATCTGTATTATTTAACCTAAGATCACAGACCGAAATTTTCGCTCGTGATTCCTTAACTCCGTTTTCGCAACATTAAGAGCAAAACGCAGTGTAAAATTCAATGTAAAACTGCCTTACAGGGCACTTACTGTCCCACCAGATCTATCTAATTTTCCCAAAGCACAAACAAACGACCGTAATTTTTACGGTTCACCTTGAGGTTAATTCTCCCGCGGCCAATATCTAATCCAATATCCAATATCATTTTGACAAGCCAGTGTGAACCAAAATAATTTCTTCGTGCTCTCTTCTCGGTTGTAAGGTAAATATTGTTGGTCTCCGGTAAACTCCTGAGTTTTTTGTCCGGCCACTCGACTGTCTTAGCTTATGTTGACTCCGAAAGAAGTACTGCGATAGACTGTGTATGGTTTGTAGTATGGAGTGTGTAAAGACCGTATCACTACTGTGAATGGAGTCGAAAATTCTCCTTCTGGTTAGTCGCCCAGTGGAACTGAAAAGGGATAGCAATATGTCCACTGAGTGGGCATTTTTACAATTATACAAGATATATAGGAAATGGTAATGGAATAATGTCAGTGCGCTCACTTTAGATAGATAAAAACGATTCACAAGGTATAATTTTGGGCATCATTATTGTTTGAATTAGGCGAAAATATGCGTAAAAATTGAAGGCTGTGTTACATGCGGTAGATACTGTAGACTATACACAAAAGTACACAAATGGCTTGTAAACGTCAGTTAGTTTACCAATAACAATGTTTTCTGCAGTATCATCTGCAGGTGACCTACCATAGCAGCCAGCATCCTGTCGACCGTGTAAAGAAGCATTATTAAGTCAACAGTTATCAGCAGCAAGTGAATTTTTAGTTCATACGCTGATAGAGACCAGAATAAACGAGAATTAATCTATTCACAGTGACTAATGAGGCATATAATTTGTTCTACCCTTCTAAGTCCCCTAATCACCTACAAAGTGTGAGTGGCCATATAATACCGTGTTGTAGAGACCTTAAGCCACTATTCTCCCTAGAATATTGATCATAGCTCTGGGAAGCCAAATAGGCCTGTAGATTGAGGGACAGTGCCTCGATCCCATATACTTGATGGCAGTTTATATATCTTTCCAGTCATTCAGTAAAACTCCCAGTAATGGGAGTAGCCTGAGGATCGTTGTCAGGGAGCCGGTTACTTGAACCACCAGCTTCTTGTGATGGTTATTGGACCCCACCTATTTCCCTGTTCCTAGCTTATTTAGGTACCAGAATGTGAAGTATCGGTCGATGTCAACAGATTCTCTCTCACTCTCCTGTGGCATGGCCATTGTTGATGCTAGAAGGGATGATGACTTCTATATGAAGACTCTGGTAAGATAATTTGCCACTGCCCCCAGATTTTGCCGATTCTTTTCAACTGTGTCAGTATCAGCAGTCAGGTACCGGACTTCACTGGACGTCTTATTCCTAAAATTCATGTATCAAAACAGTTTATTGGGTTTTCTATTTTACTTCTCATTCTTGTGACAAGCTTTGGAAGAAAGGGTATTTATGTCTTCTTTCCTTGTGTTCGGTCAAGCTGGGGTATGGGTTCAGGATATGACAACAGATATAGACTTAAAAATGGATGTCTTATGAGTTTCTCACCCTCACCTTGGGAAAAAGTCAAGTTCAAGGTCGGGGAGGAGTTCTGGAAGTCATTGTGCTCGGGTCTGTGGACATCCTGGAATACACTCAATAAAATGGAAGACTCCATCTGCTTATGATCGAAGGAGTTGTCTGAGGATAGTGTAGTAAAATACACTCGCTCAACTTACGGAGCTTTGCAATCATCGAATATGAGGCTATGACACTTTAATGTCCATCAGCCTGTAGTACCCCTGCACCAACTATAAACATACGATTTTAATCTAATTTGCATACTCATATTATATGTTTACACATACCGATTTTATATGTACTTCGTAAACATTTGTCAATTTACTGTTGAACGTTACCTTGATACAATTTTGAAATTTGACTACTGCTATAATACACGATTATACTCTTCACAAGTGCCTTCTGATTTTACGTTGTGGGCGTCGAGTAGCCACAACGTCTGCGCACATTGATAAACGTGAAGAAGTACTAGGAAATACGTGTACACTCATTTAGTCAAATAGAACACGCGACAAATTGGTGAGCCCGACGACAGATTGCTGACCCCGACGACAAATTGCTGACTCCGATGACGACGATTTTTTGACCTCGACGCGTTGTTACACTTGCTGGATTACTAAAACTCTAACTTTCGCGGATTTATATATTTATTAAACAATTCGAACTCATTCTTGTGTTTGCTCATAGCACAACCTGCAGTAATTTGCGGTAAGCACCTGCATTGTATGCTTTTTTATTTTGCCGTATTCTTATTGTGCACAAATTTTGCCATTTTGCTACTCTTAAACCATTTTTTTACTGATTGTAACATGTCTTCCAATACCTCTGATAACTTAGAGCTGGGATCTGTTAGTACTATTTCTCTTACTGTACCAGTTTTTAAGCCCAGAGACCCTCATCTTTGGTTTGCACGACTGGAACATTATTTGGCTAGCAATAAGCTCACGTCACAGTCAGCTAAATTTGCCATTTTGAGTACAGTACTACCAGACGAAGTCGCCGAGCAGGTACGGCAACACATCGTTCATCCCAGCACAGAAGCACCTTACGACAAGTTGAAGGAAGAGGTACTGCGATGCACTTCGCTTTCTGATAGGCAAGCACTCGATCGCCTGTTAAGTAATGTTGAGTTAGGGGATAAAACCCCATCGCAACTCATGAGACATATGCAAAGCCTAGTTGCCGGAAGAGAAATCGACAAACGTCTCTTTTACCAAATATGGCTGCGAAGACTTCCCGCAAACATCCAGCAGGTTCTTGCTTTCGATGACGACGACATTGACATAGAAAGGCTCACCGAAATCGCGGATCGCATGTACGAGAGGTCAACACCTCAATCTGTCGCTTCCACTAGCAGAATACCAGACACTCATGATAGAATACAGACTCTAGAACACAAAGTCGACACCTTACTGAGTCAGTTAGCAAAACTGACTACACGCACACAACCAAGCCGTTCTAGAAGCTCGTCTCGTCGACGTTTTTCTCGATCCCCTAGCACGTAACGACATCACGATAATATTTGCTGGTATCACCGTAGTTATGGAAGCAATGCACGACGGTGCCGTTCACCTTGCAACTTTCAGGCTAAACCAAAAGATATATCGTCATGTGTAAAAAATACTGTTGGCAATCTACGATCTAACAGTCGTTTGTTTTATGTAACAGATAAAAATACCGGTACTACATTCTTAGTTGACACAGGAGCAGAGGTGAGTGTTCTCCCTCCGTCTACACAGGAACGTCAACATCCTGACCCAGCAGTTACGCTCCAAGCTGTTAATCAGTCCAGTATTGTTACATATGGAACTAAACGAATGACTTTAGATTTTGGTTTAAAGAATACCTACACTTGGTCTTTCATCATTGCAGACGTCCCATCCCCAATCCTCGGTATTGATTTTCTACAGCAACACAAACTGTTAGTTGATCCGATAAGCCCCAAGCTAATAGATTCGCTCAATAAAACGTACATTGCTGGTACGATTAGCCGTGCATCATCACTGAACTTGATGGTCACACGCACACCAGCATCTCCATATACCAATTTGGTAAATCAGTTTCCTGACCTTTTACAACCTTCTTTTCGAGGAACAGAACCAAAGCATCACGTGGTTCATCATATTAAAACCACTGGACCGCCAGTTTTTGCACGTCCCCGACGCCTTGACCCACATCGACTTAAAATCGCCAAAACAGAGTTCGATAAAATGCTAGAGCTTGGTATTATTCGACCGTCCAACAGCTCTTGGTCTTCACCGCTTCACATGGTACCCAAAAAGTCTTCTGGTGAAATACGGCCGTGTGGTGATTATCGAGCTTTAAACAAGCAAACGGTACCTGATAGATACCCAATACCACATATCCACGATTTCGCTAGCAACTTACCAGATGTTAAGGTTTCCTCTAAAATCGATCTTGTCCGAGCGTATCATCATATCCCCATCCACCCGGATGACGTTCCGAAAACTGCCATTACCACACCATTCGGTTAATAATAATAATAATAATAATAGTATATTCTCATTTTTTACATGAGGGACACCAGTTTACAGGCATCATCACTTCGATAAATTACACATACGATTAGTAAATATAGTTAGTAATGATAATATAATAAGGTACATATTTGTTCATACAAATATAGGAAAAACAAGTTCTATAGGAATGGATAAGAATTATTTAAGTTACATATTTAAATTACATGATTTACGGTTAAATAACATGGTTGCTGTCATTTTATCTTCAGTTTGTGGGGAAAATCGGATAACTGGTGATTCAATGGAACACACCAACAAATATAGATATATTGACTTCGCATTAACAAAAAAAAACCCAAGTATGCGTTGGATGGATTACATACACTTGGGAAAATAAATAAAGCTTGAAGTCAATTCCCTCATAAAACAATAAAATGCGTCTTACAATAATATATTCCCACTTTATGCACATGAGGGACTCCAGTTGACAAGCATCAACAATATGGTAATAATGCACACATGGAGTAAACATGTTTAAAATTTTCCACTAACACAAAATATATATACAAGGTAAGATAATGAAATATTGACCGTAAGTACACTCTGCATAAGTTAAAACAGTTTATATGGCATAATCCTAGGCACTATTATTGTTTGAATTTGTTGAACATGAGCGAAACAACTGAGTGTTGCGTTACATTCGGTCGATAGGGTGGGCTAGTCACAAAAGTATAAAAATGGCTTATAAAACGTTACTCAGTTTACCGTAAACGATGTTTTAAGCAATATAAACTGCAAACGGCTCACTACAGCAGTTATAATCCAGTTAAACATGCAGAGAAGTAATCATAATTCAGCAACTTGTGAATTTTTATTCTTTTCTGTCTGGAACCTGAGTAACTGCGAACCAATCCATACAAAAATGTCGAAAGAGGCATGCAGGAGCAGAATTTTGCCATCGAATGAGTCATTGGTATCTGAGATGCAGCTATCAGCATATTTTCGTCGTTTCATAGATATCCAGATTTATTGACGCTGTATAGGTTGTGATTTGGATTTGTCATCATGGTCGACATATGGACGAATATTCAAAATCGGAATACAACTTGTTT